TGAGATAGCTGAGGCATTTACAATTGTGAAGAGAGGCACATTCTGTGTTAGCATGACATCTGTCAGCTTGACAAGGAACTTTGTAATCTCGATGGCTAGTGGTTGCAACGACATGTCACATGTGCATGAGCTATGTCCCTTAGCACTAATATGACATGAGGTGTCACAGTGGATGAATTTTCGTGCTTCTGCCCATCATATTTTTTTTTAATATGACCTTCTGAATAGAATCTTGTGGTTTAGTTTGTGCCTACATGTGTGTGTTGTTGCCCCGTTGCCTCGCACTTTTCCGTTCTGACCTGCCTTTGGCATTTGTCTGACAAAAAAAGAAAATGCACGTGATGCATGATTTACTTTTACTGCATTATGGATTTCAACATGCATATTGCACAACAAGCAGCCACACCCTGTCCATATTTTCCCTTTTGTGTTCTTGGCACGGGAGCCGCGTGACAGGAGTGACAGGAAGTCTTGAGGAGTGCTGGCTCGCAGACCAACACTGTGCACGTCAGTCATCGTGATGCATGTGGGAGGTGGAAGGGGGAGAAATTGAACTTGGTGATGAAGTGCCAAGGCGAGAGCTCATGTGAGACGAGCTCTCGCTCTAAAAATGATCTCCCAGAAATATTATGTAATAATACACAGTACTAGGCTGGGGTGTCAGCCATCTTCTTTATTTCTAACCTCATCTTCCTCCTCGTCTCCCTCCAACCCTGACGAACATCCACGTACACTCCCCCTCTTTGAAGACTCATCCCTCCTGGGATGATACATGAAAACGTTTCCAATGGTCGCAAACTCCGGCACACCATCATCGTTGGTGTAACCGACCCTTTTGAGAATGCCATGTTGCACTGCGATCTGCACCACGGGATAAGGTCCCATGTACACCTGCTTTGTGCTGGGAAGGCCTTTTCTGACAAGCACCAGATCGTTCAGTTGTATCTGAGGTATCAGCGTGTTGCGGCGACGGTCAAAGTTCCTCTTCATACTTTCCCGGTATCGCTGGTAGGCTTCCGAAGTTTTTCGTTTTTCGCACAATTGCAGGCAGTCTGCAATGCAAAGTTCTTGATCAGCAGGAAGCACTGGTACCTATCCGAAAGCTGCAAATTACGGGCTACAGCCGATGCTCGCAGTGTGCGACCGATTGTGATGAGCGACAGCTGCCTCCAAAGAGCACTTCCATCCACCCTGAAAACCTGGATACATTGAAATGAACTGCTTCAAATCCCGAATGATTCTTTCAGCCATGCCATTTCCTGCAGGATGGTACAAAGCGCAGCGTCGCAATACAACTCCTCGTTCCTTCGCCCAGTCTTGCAAACGCTGACTGAGAAACGCTGGTCCATTGTCTGATATTACTATTTTTGTATTCTTGAACATCTCTCGACTCAAAAGAGCGACCACACTATTGGCGTCTTCCCTTCCCGGCCGTGCAGCCACTATTCTTGTGCACTGGTCTATTGCCACTAGGAAAGACTGTGTTCTTCTTACTCCTGTCCTGCAGCCTTCTTCTTGAGCTCTGCGAAATCCAGATGAATGACTTCAAATGGTACGTCGGAATGTTGAGGCAAAACCATCTCGTCTGTTCTCTGAAGGTACTTGGCTTTGTGAACTTGACATTGATGACAAGACTGAGTATACCGTTGAACGTCCTCTTTCATGTGTTTCCACTGGAAACGCTGACGAATCTTGTGATATGTCCTTCAAAAGCCCTCATGTCCACCTGAGTGCAGGGAGTCGTGATAGAGCTCCAAATTCGAGGCACCATTGTTTCTGGGACTGTGAACTTTCCTTTATGGAACTTAAGTTCTTCAGTTCCCTCCCACAACAACATTGCGTTGACATTTTTATTATCAGGAATTACAAGTCTTGAAAGCGCATCTGCGTCCTTGAGATGTTCTCCAGGCCTGTGTTGGACCATGAAAGTAAACTGCTGGAGTTCAGTCACCCACCTAGCGATTTTTTCTCGAGGCTCGGCGAGGTTAAGGATATACGTTAAGGCTTGGTGATCCGTAAAGAGCTTTAAGCTCCTGTCATCCAGGTAAGGTCTAAAATAGCGTACGGCCATTAAGACTGCCAAGGCTTCCTTCTCTGTAGTCGTGTAGTTCAGCTGAGTTTTCGAAAAGGTGTACGAGTAGTACCAGACCACCCTCTGTTGACGGTTCCGTGGAGAGTCTGTATCTCTCTGGTAAAGCACTGCGCCTGTGCCATAATAAGAAGCTTCGGTGTTCAGTTCAAAGGGCAACTTGAAGTCTGGAAGGGTCAGGACCGGATCCGATGAAATAATGGTCACAAGGCTGTGATAAACAGATTCACACTCTGCTGTCCACTGAAATGGCACATTCTTTTTAGTCATTTCTGTGAGGCATTTGGTTTTGGTCGCATAATCTCTAATGAATGGCCGGAAATGCCCTGCAAGACCCAGAAATACCCGCAAAGAGTGCAAGTCATACGGCTTCTGCATTTTGGCGATTCGTTTGACTGATTCCTGTTTTGTTGTCTTGGTTTGGCCGTCAAATACTCTTCCAAGAAACACCACTTTACTTTGGAAAAACTCACTCTTCTTGTCATTAATTTTGAGCTCGGGGTCACAAAGTGCTTGAAGTACACCAGTCAGATGGTTTGAGTGCTCTTCCTCGTTGCGGGAATATACTATTATATAGTCTATGTAGACGTTACAAAACTTCCCGATAAACGGTCGCAAGATGTCGTTCATCATTTTCTGGAACCAAGCGGGTGAGTTCTTCCATCCAAATGGAAGTCGATTATACTCATAGATGTCAAAGGGCGTGATGATGGCAGAATATTTCTTGCACTTTTCAGAAATCGGAACTTGCCAAAATCTTTTACATAGGTCAATGCGCGAGAAAACTCTGCAGCCACCCGTTTCATCTATGATAGTCTATACGCGGCATAGGAAACGGAAAAAGCTCAGTCTGCTTATTAATTTGTCTGTAGTCCATGCAGAGTCGAAGACTTCCATCTTCCTTTGGTACCAGGTGATGGGTGAAGCGAACGTAGACGTGGATGGACGGATAATCTGCACATCCAACATCTTTTGAATCTCGTGACGTATTATAGGGCTTTTTTCTCACCACCGTCGTATCACTAAGCTGGAATGGAACCTCAAACTTCGTAGTTGCTGTAGGATATCCTTTTAAGCACAGCAATTCCGGGTAAAGCGTCCTAACATCTTCACCTGACGATGGTTTCTGCGGAGTCCTTGAAGGCGAAACTGCAGCGTTGATAGCGTGGCGCTTTTCTTCTGTGGTAATTTTGCCTGTCTAGTAGATATTAAGGCGGAGTGCACTGATGACTGGACGTGAAAGGAGTAGTTCATACGGAACTCCGTCGAGTACCAGTGCTTGCGCAGTGACAGTGTTGCCGAGACACGATATGGTTACACAAGTCCATTTATCGTGAACATCTCGTCTTCCATCGTATTCGTGTACTTCTACTAGTCTTCCCTCTTTTACTTTGGCCCTCTCAACAATATTTGCGTTAATAACCATGATGCTTGCTCCGCTGTCAACTAACGCACTCCGTTCCTTTCCATCCACAAAAACGGATATGTACAATAGACTTGTATGAGACAAATAAACAGCTTCCCTTGATGTCATCGGGTGGAAGCCGAGACCCTCTGTATTTATTTTTTTGTTACGTCATCTAGCTCTTCGCCATGGTCTGAGCCTCCCGGGGCGGTCAAAAAGGATACGGGTGTTGCAGTAGGTCTCCAGCTTGCAAGCGGGCATCGTTCCTCGGCTCGTGTGGCCCCGGTATTCTTTGCAACAGGTGTCATGGGTTGACGCTGGGTTCCTAGGTCCTGGAGGTAGAGGTTTCGCATTCCCTGCAGAAGTTCTTCGACCGTCTTGGGTCCTCGCATTTGTATTTGCTTCTGGAGGTCCGGACTTAAACCATGAATGATAAGCGGAACCACAAATGTCTCAGGCAAAGATGAGTCCGCCAGCTGTAGCAAGCGCCTTTTCTCATAAAAATAGCTGAGTGCAGATTCAGACCTGTATTTGAACGTGATTGCTTTGTCCCATAGCAACACCTTGTTCTCGCTGAAGGAGCTCAGAAAGCTTGCTTTCCACTCTATTCATGGTTTGTTGCTGTGAGCATTGAGACGCCATTGGTTTTGTTCCATTTGTTTCCATTTGTTTGCTATTCCATGAAGCGTTGTGATCACAGAAAGAGTTGCTATACTCATCTGTTTCATGACCGCAGTGTCAGAATATGTTGCTTTGTTTTGCCACTGTCTGTTGTGGTAGCATAAATTCATCTGTAAGCTGTTAAAACATATATCACATGTAAAGTGCATTTGTTATTTGACATCAACTGTTCAAACTGCCTGTAGTTTTTGCTCCTCTATTCCTCCAACAATCTTGGCAGACGAATGTGCATTTTCATTGTTGCTATTCCGTCCTGGCATTGACGACATGTGCATGTCTGTATTGTGAATAGTTTGAGACACACAGTGTTGTCTTATGCTGTGCAAGCGATAAAGCCTGGTAGTTGCACCATCATGCTTTATTCACTCGACATTGCTGGAGCCAGGGCATTACTTCCCCATCCCAGTCTGCAACCTTGATGTTGCGGCAGTTTGCGGTTGCGGTTTTGTTCAAGACAGGTGAAATACTGCTGGAATGGACTTTGGGCGAATGATGATCACACGTGATGAATAAAAAATAAATAAATGAAGGCCTATTTTTGGTCACTACTGTGACTTATTTCTTGTGTCGCTCCATTAATGTGCATGTAATGCATTTAGTTAACACTGGTTTGAGGTAAAGAGGGACACTTATTCGGCAGCTCACATGAACGTATTATAGGGTGTGGGAAGAAACCATCTTCTCTTTCTCTTTTCTTTCAAAATTGAAATGCTACATTTGTCCGGGGGAGTTTATTGAACAAATTTTCTGGCAGTTTACACTTCTGAAATTGTGTTTGTGTGTACTATTGAACTACCTGATTGTTGGTGTCTCTTCTTGTTCCAGATTCAAATCACGTAACGAAGAAATCAGCATGTAGCACACCCATGACACAAAAGTCACCAAAACAAGGTGAGAGTTGTATTTTCATGTATTTCATGCAACAAACTCATTTACTACTAAAAGATCCTTGTAGTTCTTTGTATGCACAGTCATCTTCCTAATGGGTATATTCTTTGTTTTTCATAAATTTTATGTACTGTAAGCCATTTGTGAATGGTAATTGGAGAAAGCTGTTACATGTGTTTCTATTGAGATAATTCTTTTGATATCGAAGTAACCATTGTGCAACTGTGACTCACTTTGTATTTTCAAGCTCGAATGACTGCTAAGTAAGATTTATTATTGAATATTGCGGCAAAAGAGTCTTTTTTTACATAAATTGTGCCAGTGCTGTATCATGGCTTAGATTGAATGGTGGAAAAATTTGAAAGCTCCCATGCAACATGATGCAAGGCGGGACACTTTATGCACGTAGTAACACCTGGCATTACACATGGTAACATGACTTGCAGGATATTTTTCAATTATCTCTTATGAGCTAATTATCTGTGGCTATGCCTGAAATAATGAGTTTGATGCTGTTGAACAGTGTATGTGTTGTTTGGGACCAGAGAACGCATCTGAATGATCCCATTTTGTGAATTCACAAGTGTCGAATTACTGCGCCCTTACTGTAATCTGAAATAGTAATCCTATATTATTTTTTTTTGGATGTCGTCTTTTAACAAATAATGAATACTATAGTAGGGATCATTAGGTTGGATATACAACTTTCTTGAAGTAAAAGTTATTGCCAACCATTGTAATAGGTGCAAATTTTTAAAAGAAGTAGTAGTTTTCTTCTTTTAGACTTTTGCACCTTTTACAATGAACTATTCCTTTTATTTGGTAGTGTATGTCCTTGGCCAGACAAGAATTCCTCACACTATGGGCTATTCAGATTTGTTATTATAAAACTTAAATGTTTTCTTTTCAGGTTCTGTTTTTTTCTTCTGAATGCTTGCCTAATTATGGTTTTTGCACTGGTGTCAGCTTTTATTAAATCAAAAGTACTATAGCTGTACCAAAGCAGTCCTCACTGTACTGCTATGTTGGAGTAGCATCTCCTCTCACTGCCAGCCAGATGTGCCCCATCCTACTCTCACCCATCGCCTAGCCTTCGCGTGTACTTTGCGCTCATGGAGAAGAGAGCCATTTGTGCAGTGCCTCGCAACAGAAATCAGATGACGTTTACTTTTGTTCAGTTGTGTAGAGATTCGTGCGGTAGTGTCTTGCTTCCCTTGTGTTCATTGTGTTGGTGGTCACCCTGGCTCTGGTGTTCTGATATAGTGCATCTCTATTTAGGGCGCTATGTGGGCAACTAATGGCAACATGTTACATGTGCTGCTTTTAAGAATTGCCTCCTGAGCGGTCTGTGAGGTGGCGGCATTGCGTTGCGCTACAAAGAAGGAGCACCAAAGAACTTATCTGACAGGCCCATGATATTGAGAGGGAAAGTGCATCTGTTACATCTCCTGGAAAAAGCATTTGAACGTGTGATGCAAGCAGCCACACCCTTTATGTGGCTTTGTTTCACGACCATTTCCAGAACTAAAACCACATAGGAGTGAACATGTGCACTGCCATTAAAAAAAAAAAAATAGAGGAGGCATTGGGTGGCGTCTCATATTGCAGTTTATGGGATGCAGTCACCTAGCCAGACAGTTATGCAAGTTATCCTGCAGTATGCACGAAATTTAAACTGGGGCATAAGCTCAAATGTTCTAGACAACTAATTTACTGAAAAGTCTGACTTGACAATCTGATGACGAAGCTTTCGTTTGCTGCAGTCTTCTCCTGCCATTCAATCTTTGTCTTGCAGCCTTATAGCTTAGTTGGGGTGAAATAGTGGTGGGACAAAGAATAAGACAAAGGACGCAGTGCTATGTCTTGTATATTGTTTGTCCCGTCGTCTGCGTCGTTACACCACAGTGTTCATGAACCAACTAGCCCATCTAAGAACCCCTACATCTTAGACCACGCGATCTGGGCCACCCTGCCAAATGTTGGTGAGGGTACAGGAAGGATCGCTTTATAAAAATGTAGCATGTACGTACAGGTGCTTCTACGAATGAGATTTGTTGGTTGTCGCTCATTATGTGAGAAACAATGAGGAGGTCGGAGGTGAATTGTGGGATAAGTGTGTTGAAGTGGCTGTTGTGGCGAATGTCCAGACATGTACTGGTTTGCGTACGCCGCGGATCCTCCGGCGGAGCGGCACAGACGGGGTCTCTGGGCCCAGCAGGTAGACGAACTAGCAAGTCTCGAGCAGGAGCTCGATGGTGCGACAAGTGCGCAGAAAGAGTCCCCCTGCTCCCCTTTAGGTATGACCCTCCATGCAAGAGCATGTTGGCACGAGATGCATGGCCCAGCTGGCTGGTTTGCATTTGTTAGGTCAGCTGTGAGTGTGTTTGTCATGTGCACGTTGGGCTGCTCGTAGGGATCACAAAAGCCCGAGGGGCCTCGCCAAACGTGAGAAACGACTGTCAGCATCAACACAAATGGTTGACATTGTGCAGTGTCACACGTCCTACAGGGAAGAACTAAGTACCAGCTATTTACCTGGCAAACATGATTGCTTTGTTTGTCGAAATGAATGTGAACACACCTAAAGGTCACCAGCAGCTCTTCACTGTAGCAAGCGGAACATTGTAGATCGCAAACCCTATTTGACCAGTGCTGGCGCACAGCGAAAGAATTGAGTCCAATAAGATTGCCAAATACACAATTCAAGTGTACCATCACTGAAAAAGAACTTGTACCTTGCTCATTCATGGCCGACACACATCGTTTAGGTTAATGGCAGGTATTTCCTTCTATTTGTGTGTGTATGACGACCCCTTTATATTTAATTGCATCTCATTAATAAATGTCCTTTGTAAGTCAGTGTTTTGTTCGTTTGTCACCGGTCTTCTTTTGTCCATGTTTTTTTTGTGTGCCATAAGCCTTGAACTACAGTAAACTGCCGAGCAAGTGTGCCGAGATCTGAAATAAGCACGAATGACTGGTCCAGGACCGAGCAAGCGCCCTCCCCCCCTAATCTACTCAGATTATTGTTCACTGGCCTTTTACAGTACTGTCTCATCATAACAAAGGAGAACTGAAGAAACGGGAATGCAAGCAAGAGACACACAAGACAGATGCTCAACTTTTAACTGACGTTTATTGAAGCGACATGAAAGATTTATAACTGGAACCAACAAGGGTGACCAGCAATAAGATACAACTACCGGATAACGAAACTGCCAATACCTCTTCGTGACACTGCATTGGGGCCATGCGCCAATGCAGACCTCATTTCCAAGTAACCAAAGGCAATAGAAAACATCCAGAATATTTATTGCACCCCTGCATTAATTCAGCATAGAGTAAGTAGCACGAACTCACCAGAACCAAAGATTGACAACATGAAAGGAGGCAAGCGCCACCGAGACAAATTTATTGCTAAAAAAAAATTTAAAGACAACATCTGTAAAGGAACCACCAACTAGCCCAACTTGCACTATTATCTGTGAAGGAGCAGGTAATAAAACCATTGGGATGTTTAACCATTGCACGGCATCTTTTAAATTGACTGTGAAACCACAAAAATTGCTGTACCAATAAATAGGAAAAAAATTTAACAAGTTTCTAGCAATATATGAATACCTAGGAGCTGCATCAGTAGATGGTAAAACTGCATGAAATAAACAAAAATCACATCACCGTGACAAACAGTGCAAGTATGGACTAATTTGCCCGTATATATTTTTTGGGGCCAAAACCAGTCCTGTTTTTCTGGTACACATAACTGAAGGTCCTTACTTCGTGGCACTCATGATGCTGCCTTCAAAACATTGCATGGGACATTCTTTTTTATATATACTACTAGGTGCAATGTGTAGGTGTGTTGTTGCATTTGCTTGACGTCACTGCATGTTTCACCACCTGAGGGCCCACTAGGGCCGTTTGCGGTTCAGCATTGTGGTGGGCTTAATTGGAAAGACAGGAAATAAAAGGCAAAATTTGTTTTGAGCTAGCGAGCGGCGCTGTAATTTTCGCATCGCAAAAAAAAGAAACTAGGGCATTCCGTCTTTTGTTTATACGAAGCCAAAGAAAGTGTACAAGGAAATGTAATATTCTTTTACAAAAACTCAAGTACCGAATTTTAGAACTTACGAATTCAATTATGGGGCCACAAGGGCATATTTGAGGACCCTAATGTGAGCCATGCGGTTATAATCACTGCTTTCAAATCAGTACTCTGAAACATTTCGAATAGAGAAATTTTGCAGTAAAGCTGTATTTGGCTGGGAATATGGGAAAATGTGCTGGTTCATGAGTGTGCAGAAACTAAAATCAATAAGCAAAGCTAGCCTACGCGGCCTCAAAGTGTCTTCGCGTTTGCGCTAGTTTAACATCAGGTTTTGAATGATAACTGCTGCACCATGAATCGCTACTTATAAAACCCTTGATGTGTTGTTAAACGAACACTAAAGTGAAACTATGAATTGGTTTACATCAAGAATGTGTTCTCCGAGTACTCTGTCATTTTAACCTTACCATCATAAGTCTATTATTACAGGAGAAAATCAAGTTCAATGTACAATTTTTAGATTTTGTACCAAAATTGCACTTTAAAGCTACGAATTTCAGAGTGGACTTGTGTTTTGCTAATATTGGCTTGATGAAAGTTCGGAAAACCTGGTATTTTATGTCTTTGACACTATTAGCAGACCTTGGGTTAGATTTTTACCTATTAGAAGCAACGTAATTCTTAGTAAAAACATCGTCAAAATTTACATCACAGCTTTTGGTGCAGGAATTATCAGGTGGTGTTGCCACCTACATTTTATTTTTGCGCATTTTCCCACCTGCCATGCATCTTGTCATGGCGAGCGCGCTGATTTTGAAATTGTGAAGGGTAATTTACTAGTAAGAGAAAAATCTTTTTTCTCCCTAGTGTAATATCCTTTGACCTTTATATAGTCGCCAAACACCAAGTTCAATGCTTGCATCTCTTCAAGGAGCTCTGAGGTAATCCAAAAGGGACATGTTTCGTTTCTATGGTGTGCGTTGTCAAGGCTCTCGACACACTGTAGCCAAACAGCTCTTACAAAATATTTTACATTAATTGTAAAGTTAATTGCCAAGCAGCTTCAAGCCAGCCCCACTCGGCAATGGGCATAATCACGACATGTCACTCATTGGGTTTTCGAAATTTGTGCGTTGCATGCAACCGCAGAAATCACTGTCTGTGCAACAAGTCGCTCATAATTGTTTGCGTGATGCGACTGACAGGCAGCTGCTGCGAGTATGTCTCTTCCGCTGACGTAAGACCTCTCTTGAAATCTAGCTACCCAGACTGAAATTGCTGTTATAAGGTAGCAGTATTAAAAACATATTTAATACATTCTTAAGCACCGCGGCACTCTTTTTAGGGTTCTCTACACTTAGAGCAACAATATTTTATATTTGTGTCAGTACTTCAAACGTTGTGATAGAGAATCAAAAGCTAGAACCATGGCCTCCGAGATTGCGGGCACGGGGTGGGGTTCTCTCCGGCCGTCCCAATTGCCGCGCTTCCCAGAAAAACCAGCCTCGCGCCCGGCTACCGTGAGGGGGCGCGTATAATGTGGGTTCCTCGAGTGGCGAACACCACGCCAGAAAGCAGAGCGCGTGGAATTTAAGCGTGCGCATGTTTTTTTTTCTTCTCGCGTGTGGGCAGAAATCATCGACAAATCTTCTGGCTGCACTGAAGGCAAGCATTTTTTTCTGTTACTGCTTTTATTTTGGTCCCATTGGCGAATGGCAACTGCATGACAACTGCTGAATTTTTTTTATCTAGATCATTGCAAGGAGGTATTATTTCGTCTTGTGACAGAGGCATTCTAGCATTCCCCCTTTCTGAAGACGCGTATATGGGTGAAAACTGTGCTATTTACTGTCGTTGAACCATATTGCCCTCCTATTGTTGGAGATCGTTTTACTATTTTATCACGTACCGATATCTATCAGGTGTGCAATCAAATTCCATTTATGATATAGATAATAAGTGTGCTAATTGTTCCACTTATTAATAGGATAAGTAATTTTGCCGGAATACTGTGAAAGGCTACGATTAGCCGACCTAGATTTACTCCCTACGTCCCTCACAGTGAAAGTGCATGAGTTATCGTCTCCTTTTCTCGTCATCTGTATTTTGATTGTGTTTTGGTAGCACAATGGCAATATCAGTATCGTGTTAATTTACAGTTATCTCTACTGTATCCAAATCAAAGGGTCGCACACGTGGTCGAACGACATATTTCAGAAAACCAAGTATTCATCAAGGTACACTACTGGAGGATAAAATTTTGAATTGTCACTGCTATGTAACGCGTGTTTGATACCAGATACACAGTACTCTGAACGCGTGCGGCGTTCCTCTACAACAAGCAAACGATCTCGATGTTCATTCTTACAGTACCCAACACATCCACTGAACACTGTAGAACTCACAGTGCGAATGGGCGACCATGAGTGACTAAAGCGCACCTGTAATCAGCCCGTGGTCGTCACAGAGCCCGTGATGTTCAGTCTAGATGTAGTCTCCTGCTTTTGCGGCGCGACAGGAGGTAGTTGGAACGAGAAACTGGGGAAGCCTTGTGGGGGAGTGCGCAGCGTTGTACACTTTCAGAGCGTGGCTTTCGCGCCAGACTTGACCACGTCTGCAAATTGTGAAGAGGGAGCAAGACAATTGCTGGGCCTGAGGGCCGAGTTTGGTCGCCTCAGTGACCATTTCTCTCCAGCGGGTGTTATTTTTTTGTCATGGGCAAAAAAACATGCGTGTGGAGAGAGCGACAGCTGCGGCATTTGCGTGGTCACCTTGCTGCATTCTGCATAAAAAAAATTTCGGAGTGGAAGTCAAAACGAATGTTTGACTCAATAGTAGCGATTTGTTCACTAAGTTGCTGACTAATTACGGTTTATACAATTGATACTATGTCAATGCTGTAGTTTTTCTGTTAGAAAAAGTGACATCAGGTCTTGTTTCTTCTATGTAATTTCAGGAATATGTCATACTGCTGCGTTCTCTTCTGCACGTCAGATAGGAAAAAAAATAGGAAAAAAAACAAACTTGGACACGAGATGCCAGCATGCGCCGTGGCGGTTTCAATGGCACCACCGACGCTTAATTCGCGTGTAGGTGCGACTGTAAAATGCTCCACATTTAATAAAATCCAGTAGCCCTATCCACAACTTAAATCAGAATGCCACATCCTGCACTCATTGGTTACACGCAAATAAATGGGTCAGTTTCTTGTTCCTTTGGTGTAACTACCCCTGATTTAAACCGTAACGCTGTTTAGAGAATTATTACAGGGGAGCTGACATAATCACAGCGTAGCGCGGCGTGGTTTTATTGCTTTTAGGGACGAAGCTCCAGTTGTGGCAAGCATGGCTGGACGGCAGGCGTGCCAGCCAAAGAAGCGAAGAACGCTTCTAAAAAAGCAATGAAAGCATGTTGCAGTGCAGCTGCAACATGCTTACATTACATTACATTACATTACATTAGGGTGTGCGAGAATTCTCGAAATAGCGTTACAATGAAAAAGCAGTGCTAGTTCAATGAGAACAAGAAGAATTCATTCAGTCGAGTGTAAAAAAATAATCCATAGACGTACAGTGGTGCACTCTTCTGGCCTCACTTGAGGATAAGGCTGCCATTTTTCTTCCTCTTTCGCCAGTGCCCCCCTACTATACAGCCCGCGAACTTCGAAGTGTAGTTTTGAGCACATGTAGACCTCTTGCAGAGGCATCGCAATTTGAACTGCTCTAATATGGGCGGCGCCAATCTACAGCAAAAAATTTGCCCCAGTATCTGCATGTAATGTGGAAATGTTGTCGAAAGACGATAGTCTTGCATGTGGAAAGAGTTAACAAAACATTTGATGTTTTGTGCAAGAAAATCTGTGAATGGTATTCCGGAGGCGCTGTGTTAGAGTGCCTGGAGCGTGCAGCAGGGGCGAACGAGCGCATCAAGTCACGTCACACGTGAGACATGAGTGCCATCTGGCAGTTTTATTGGAAAACAAAGCGCGTGGCTGTGCGCGCCCGTCTCAGAGGTGATAAGCTGTAGAACGCGAGGCGACGGTTAGGTGCCACCACCATCTCGTCTTAGCAAAGCGTTGGAAAGACTCCCCGTTCCGTTCAAGCGTTACATGGTAAGTGCAGCGTGATAAGCGCTACGACCCTTAAAATTACTTATGTATGCGTTTTCTAATGCATATGCAAAATATATGCGTGTTGTTATGGTGCCCCAGACATGTGCGATAATTGCTTTTTAATTGACATTTGCACAAGCATGAACGCTCAACCTTGAGCAACATTGGTGGTCACTGTGGATAAAGTCGGCCAATTCAAGTACCTGATGCCGGTAAGAGTGGACAAACAGACAAATGTACAGACAGACAGACCAAAACTTTTGCGTCGAAGGTCCCCAAGAAAGACTATTAATAAAAACCCAGCGTTGACTTTGCCTCTCGTACTCCTTTACCCGACATTTCCAAATGAATATGAAGTTATATAAAAGCACCAAACCATTTTTTCATAGCCACATAGAAGCTTCGCCAACAGTGCGGCAGCCTTTTCGACCGAAAGAAAAAGTGCCGCTGGCAAAGAAAAGAGCGGGCCACGCCAACGTCTGCAAACACGTGCTCTCCGTGCGATTGGGTTGGCCGAAGAGAAACCGGTCCTGCGCCCGCAATCTCTGAGGCCATGCTAGAACGCGCTTCAATCAATAGATCCCAACTAATCATAAACAATGGGGCTGCACATTTCAGCTTTGCTGGTTAAGCCTTGTATGCTTAGGCAGATTTTTTTTTGTAAAGTTTCATGAAGTTTTTTTATCTTAAGACACCTGTGGGTCTTCCTATATTGCCGGATAAACTTACAGATCTTTTAAATGCATCTTGCTTCATGCCTGCCCATCTTGATTTGCGTACACAGGCTCGACTGCATAGTGAGTGAGAGCTGTTCATTGATTGGTTTGAATGGGCACTACCCTGCTCCTTAATCTTATTTTATTAAGCAATTGCGTGTGCATTTCAGTTGGGGCCTTTTCATATTTAGTTTCTGTTGAACGCTGAAAGTATGAGTGGTCTTGATGCTTTTGTTGTTGTTTATTTTTGTATATTTTGCGGCTTTGTTCTTTATACATCTGAGTGAGCATTTTATATATTGCTTTCAAATAAAAAGGTGGTATAGGGCACTCAAGTTGAGATTGGTAGTTGTGTATATTTAAAGTGGTGAATTACGATTTTGCTTTTTCAAAAGTGACATTGTTAGTGGGTTTTAAACTTGGTAAGGTCTTTAAAGCATTATTGTGTAACCTTTCCTGTTGGTAGTTTTCATGTATTGGGTTCAACTAACACACAACACAGCAGGGGGGGGGGTGGGTGTTCCTCCGTGTTTTATAACGTCATGGAATTTTTTCAGACGGACAAAGCCTAACATTTACAATGTTATCTTTGTTAGTTGCAGTGGTTTATGAAATTTGTATTTTTATGTTTCTTGTGAACACCAACCAGTTATAGGCAATTTTAATATGTTTCATCAAACAACTCTTTCTGTTATGCTGTCATTAGCAAAGCACATGTGCAGTTTTTGTTTGTCAAGGTGTATATTTTGTTTGCTTTCCTTTTGCTTCGGCATCTTTTTTGTGCTGCTTAGTGCCTTAGGTCATTGGCTGATTTTCAGAGCACTTGAAGTTTGTGGGCTTCTTGCAGGCTTCTTTTGTTTAGTTTGCTTTCTTTCATTCTCCTGTACCAGACACTTACTGGTTTGCTCACGCTGGCGGAGATGCACCAAGTGAGGATGGCAACGAACGTAGGTTATCCCCAGGTAAAGCACTGCAAAGCATTGATTGATGGAATTATTGATTGAGTGTGTGATCAATTGATTGATTGAATGATTGATTGACTTTAATATTCTGAACCAGTGCAAGCACTTTGTAACAACAGCACTGCTAGTTATTTATAACCGCCCCGCCGCGGTGGTCTAGTGGCTAAGGTACTCGGCTGCTGACCCGCAGGTCGCGGGTTCAATTCCCGGCTGCGGCGGCTGCATTTCCGATGGAGGCGGAAATGTTGTAGGCCCGTGTACTCAGATTTGGGTGCACGTTAAAGAACCCCAGGTGGTCAAAATTTCCGGAGCCCTCCACTACGGCGTCTCTCATAATCAAACGGTGGTTTTGGGACGTTAAACCCTACAAATCAATCAGTTATTTATAACCAGCGCATTTACATGATTGTAAGTTGACTTTAATATAGGTGTACCCCTCAAAAGGCCCTGCAAAAAAAAAAAAACTGCATTAGTGCTTGTCATAAAAGAAATTTATTTGCATAGTTGCTGGACTGACTTGACATTGACATCATGATTGGTGTCAGCAACCATATTGTTGGGCACTTATATGTCCTGTCCTTGAAATAGTTGCGCTAGAATATTTCAAGTTGAAATTTATCATAAACTAGTTGCACAAATTGTGTTGTAATTAAAGATAAAAATGTGAATTGTATGCAAAGGCATCTTTATGGCAGTACTTTACCACTATGCAGGGATGCTAGCTTCATAGCGATATGCTGGGATCTTCATATTTTTTTCCCAAGTTCCATGAGTCGTTGCCGAGAGTGCAGGTCATACAAGAGTAAATCTGTATGTGAGAGAGATCTGGAACGCAAATGTAATACTGTAACCATGTCACAGTGACCTTGCTCCCTTGTTTGTCTCGCCATAACTGCCACTTCTAGTGTCTGTTTTAATAGACCTCTCCCTATTTGCAAACAGTGTGACGTCACTGCGAACGCCACCCACACCATTCCTTTCTTCGGCGCAGGGGCTCGTTGGCAAGCTGGTTCGGCCAACGATCCCCTTTTTGCATGGCAGGGCTGCATGTGCCTGCCTTCCTCAGACAGAAATTTCGACTAATAGTTTTTTTAAAGCTACTAAAAGGAAGGGTCACTGCCTTTAATGCACGATTCTGTTAGGTTAAAATGCGGTGATTTGCTCGTAGTACATGGCAGCCATTAAAAAAAACCTTTTCCTCTTCGAAAGCGAACGTTCTGCATGCTTTCAAAAATATTACCATGGTATGCACGTAAACATACTGAATTTTTGTGCACTGCAGTTTTAAATGAGGCACTGCATTGGCGGTAGCACGGTTTTGGTCTGCCAAGTGAGAGGCTCTCAATCACGCCGCAATGTTATGATCGCATATGAATGGAAGAAAAGAAAAAAAATTTGAACACTTTTTGCCGTGCGTCAGGTTCCAGTTAAGTAATCATCGTTAAAATTGAAGCCAACTTGTCCGCGACGTTCCTCATAGCCCACGAAAAATTTGTGTGATTTTAAACTTGATAAATTATTTATATACATAACCTTTGGGCAGTTACATTGCTGCATCTGACTCCTACAACATATTGGCATACCTTTTTACTGCACTAGTAGCCTCGCTGCCTTAAGCCCCAAATGCCGTGAGGAGGCATCGGTTCTATTGTCCATCTTTCGCCTGTATATATCACGATCATTTGTAACTAATTGCTCACATCACGCATCATTGCCATAATTTTACTATCTATATACAGTTCTTTACGCTTTGATTTTAGGCCTTTTTACAGCCACAATACACCTTGTCACCGCAAACATTTGTCATCGCCAACACCACATAAAGACATGGTACTCTTTGGACCCTTGCACCACCAAACCCCATTAATCATCACAGTGTGCTTTTAGTTAATGCGCATGCTGCGAATTTTTATTGTTCAACACGCAAGAGAAATCTCCTGCACTACTTTGGAGGTCAGAATCCAGTGCCTATATATACGGTGTGATCAGTGAACGGTTGTGCAGCATGAGCGTTTTTTTTTTTTTTTTTTTTTTTGAGTCAAGATGCTCGCTAGCAGACGTTGCCTGCGTCAGCGTTGTAAGATGAGAGAGGGGGAGCATAGGAGAGGCAAAAGAGGGGTAGGGGATGTGTGTGTATGCGCAGTGAAGGTGTAAATGCTCTGGGGAGGAACGGCTAGAGGAGAAGGGGGTGAAAAGCAAGCGTATGTTAGCAGACGCTCCCTGCGTGTGTGTTGCGAGGCGAGAGAGGGGAGAGCAGACGCGCATGGGCAGTAAAAGTGCTCATGTCGCACTCTGTACTGAGCTTGACCCCATGTGAGGGTTGTCTGAGTGGTGGGTAGCTATAGTAGGGTTGGTTGCAACGTTTTGGGAACGCTGTTGAGTGGCATCAACACTGTGTCATTCACCATTTTAGCATTTTTCTGGAATGGCCCAACAAAAGGCACATCCCAGGACTACCAAATTGAGTTTCTCACATTAAAGTTTGGCAAAGTTGGAATTTTCGCTGTGCACGTGATCCTCCGTGTCAGCTTTTTTACTTGTCCTAGAGAGGGCTTTTGTTCTAACACCACAAAATATTTCAAGAAAGCCTTTCAGAAAGTGTTCTCTTTTCACCTTTGTTTTGCATAGGGGGGGGGGGGGTACAATGCATTTGTGTGGTTCAAGTACATTCAAGTTCTACCAGTGTATGTGAGTCCATTGGGTAAGACACACATCACCAAGTGTGGGGTTGCCTCAAGTTCACTACCCAATACCACCCAAAGAGGTTTATTTGGTTTAATAGTCATTTATTTTTTCCGTGATGGAGAGGCACACAATTTTTCTATTGAGTCTGCATAAAAATGCTTAGTCATTTGCGAGAGTGAAAGAAAATTGTACTTTTTTTTTTTTTGCCCGGGTTGATTTCGGGGTCATTTCATGCTGACTGCCCCAACCATATCAGATTCTGATCTTTGAATAATAGTGGAATGTGTCAGATACAAGAGCTTGGTTTCCGAGAACAGATATCAATAAAATTGAGTTTCCTGGCTCAGGGATTGGTGAGAGATATTGCTACATTCACGTTGGCCAACTTGCGACATGACCACCTCGAGAAAGGGCCTCAAGCATATTACCACACATACTCCTTCCTCTTCATGTTTTATGTTAGTGGCTCATTGCACGTGTACATACTGCCTTGCACAAACTACGTCAGCATGTCTGGAAGCAATTCAGATTATTTCACGATCATCTGTCAGGCTTGCTGCAGATCTGATTAATCAACGGTCGACGCTCTATTTACTGCTATCAGTGTATAGTGTGTACTGCTTGTAATCTGTCTGTTTCCCGGCCACGGCCAAATAAAAAGTTTCATCTTAAACCCAATGACCCGGTGACAATAATATGCAAGCAATTTCTTGTTATTTTATGTAAATACAAGGAATGTTTTGGCCACATAATTTGCAGACAGGAGCCAAGGGGGTGACAGCGCATGTGGGGGCGCCGGTGACTCGCCCCAGCATGCGCAGCTGTCACGGGAGGAGCGGCTACGTCTCGTGAAGGAGCGGCAGGAGGAGCAGCGGGCACGGCGCTTGCAAGAGCTGGAGCAACAGGCACAGGCTGCACAGCACTACCGTGAGCAGCTGGAGGAAGAACGGCGCCGGCGCATTGAGGAGATGCGACAGCGTGACCACGAGCGTCGGCTTCAGGTGGAAGAACGCAAGAGGCTTATCTGGGAAGCCGATCACGTAAGCGGCTGGGCCCCAATCATGTGAACGTCACGCTGACAAGAGAAACGTATGCTTATCAAACCACACTAATACAAAGGCACAGTGGCCAAGACTACTTTAGTTACAATGGCCACCTGTGAGAAGCATGTTTGCGATTAATTACTTGGGAAGTAAAAACGGCGCACAAATATAGACGAGGACAGAGGAAGAGATGACACCGCACTGACACCAACTAGCCCAACTTTAGCTATTATTGCGACTAATTATTTAAGAAGTAAACTTGTTAGATCAATGCAAAGGTTATCCAAGTTGGGTGCCTCTCTTGTTGCAGCAAAAAGTATTTTGCAGATATTTGTGGGCTGTTAGAATGCTAGTGCACTGCAAAGGGAAAAGATAGAAAACGTGTGCGTGCCTGCAGCACCGTAAACACGTTCACATGCAATTAGCATTATCATGCTTGATTGACACATGAGAGATTTGCAGTTAATCCAAATTATCGGGTGTTCTACTTCAGAGCCATGTCATTGCTTGAAAGTGCTTTGGAAGAGAGACACTGTAAATGTCATGTAGTGGAATGTGCCTGCATTCTGCGTATTTGCCGGGGACGACGGCATAGCTATGCTTTAAATGCGCTATGCATTAATCACCAGTTACAAATTTGCATCTCCTGACATGCGCTATCGCCGCCAACAAAGGAAGAAACTCGGGATACATTGCCTAAAGTGCCCACTGCAAAGCCATTTCTTCCTTTCGCCAATGTACAGAAAGGTTTCCAACTTTTCCACAAACCGATAGCACGCGGTAGTGACGCCGATGAGCATTTGGAAACTACTGCGGGTTACGGGATATGCAGCGTGGTACAACGACAGAACGGACACAACCGGCTGTCTGTGATAGTTGTTCTGCGGTCTGCTTCTAAGCGAAAACTGATGCAGTTTCTTCCTTTTAAGTGCGGTACTGTCGCAGAGAGCCAAAACGTTTACTGCATGGCTAGCTGCGTGCAGCGCTTCGCTCACTCGGTGCACACCGTGACTGTCGGTCCGCTAGCTGTAGGGTACGTCCTCTCTGCTTTAGGCCATGCACAGATGTGGCGGGTAGCCTGATAAGTTAACGCGGCGACGAAGCAAGCAATGTGCTTTCCGCGATGCTTTAGCAGTCGTGGCAACGAACGGAAGCTGTGTTTGGGCTGTCGCTGAATAAAAGCGTGCAGCATGGTTACAGCAGTGCTACGCTTGCTTTACGGTGTAAGTGTTGGCATAATGCAGCAAGGTTTCTCGTTCCCCGCAACCCGCAAGGATAAACTCCTCGACAGCGAGCTCCTTGCCTATTTGTAAAGCAGTGCGCGCTGGAACACGGTCCCGCACAAAGTAGCGGCAGCGATCAGTGGCCCAGCACATTCAGGTAGTCACCTACTAAAAGCTTGCAGTAGGCCTGAAGTGGCGCAATGCCACACGTGTGCCCGAGCAGATAACCGCGGACGCTTACTGGGATAAGGCTTTTCGTATGCGATAAGTCATACCGGCACCTATATCGGTGGTCGCCACCTCGCCTTCGTTCTTTCCCCGATGATTACTCGCAATGTCATCGCCGCAATTGCGCAGAGGTCGGGATAACTTATCGGCTGTTCTCCGCACTTATCAACATGACAGAAAACCATTCATGGCACATTGTGGCGTCTGCAAGTCCAGTGACGCAGTAAAGTTTCGTGGCACAAAATGTTATCGTGGTACCCAGTTCGTGCGCACAAACTAGTAGGCATAAGCCGAACTCTACGGCTTAAGCAGTCTGCGAATGTAATAGTCTTTATGAGACTTGGTCAAGGATTCGTCGCAACAGTGTGTTAACCATTAGTACGTTTAAAGCAGGTATGCGCTAACGAGGTTTGACTGTATGACAAAATCCTAGAATTGCACAAGGCGTCGAAACAATTTAATTGTGCACCAAATGGGTAGTTCTAAGCTGCCTACGCACTATAAAGTGTGCAGCTGCAGAAGTGCATGTGGCACCTTGTGGACGTGTAGTGAATACTAAAGCAAAAAGAAGAATCGTGGCATGTGCAAGACGTTTAGCATTTCCACCATACACCCTATCATTTTAGTCTTCTAGGTGGAGACTCAATTGTTTTTTCTCAAATATATTTAGGAGCGGAGCTCCTTAGGCTCGCACAATGTCTGTTGTTACTGTCGTCGTAGGTGTCCGTGCTCCTGTCTGACCCTCAGCCCGTGCATCTGTTCATACATCTGTCCATGTGTCTGTTTGTCCATGCATGTGTTCGTCTGTGCATGCATCCGTCCATCCTTTATACTAGTCGGGGACTTCAACGTTGGCATTAGGGACCTTAGGATGTAGCTTTTCTCCATCATCAGCATTAATTTCGCACATCAGCTGCCAATCTTTCTCTTTCAATTATTTCAGGAGCGGAAAGAAGCCATGCTGAAACGGAACATGGAACGAGAGGGCAAGCTGGATGCCCGACGCAGCACCGCAAACCGTATGAGCATGAGTTTTGCTTTTGGCAGCTCTACGCCGAGGACCTTTGATCTGGATTTAGCCACCATGAGCTCAGCTGGTGCCCCGGTGCTGATGTCAGCAGCGCCTCAGAGGAAATCGGAAGAGCGAGACTTTGAGAGCAGCCGCAAGAGGGCAGCATCAGCCTACAACTTGTGCCAAGCAGCAGGTAAATGGCGAAGTTTACGTCACATTGAACGTCCACAAAGAAGCAGCAGTTGCCTTGGTTCTCGAAACAAAGCTAGTGGTGTTATTTTGTAGGAGATAAAGTCAACTGTAAAACGTGTGAGGAATATCAGTCACATTTCACACTGTGTGGTAGCTTAGCATGTCAGGTGCGATATTGTCAAGCACAAGGGTGGGAGGTCCATTTCTGGCCATGGTGGTTGCATTTTGATGTGGCTGGAATTTTAAGAAAACACATGTGCTTAGATTTATATGCACGTTGGAGAAACCAAGTGGTCATAATTAATTATCAGCCCCCCCTCACTATGGCGGGCCCCTTGATCATAGTAGCCTGGCTTTTGCATGTAAAACCTCAGCGGCCACTATGTCACCAGGCGTATTTCAACTTTACAAGGTCTGTGGGTATTGAATTTGGTTTGCCATACCTAGTTTGTCTTGCCATAACAAGATTAAGAATGTGGTATCAAGCTCCATTTTGGTGAAAGCGAAGCACAATATATGTTTGCAGATACTTGAAACGTGTATGCATATACAATCGAACCCTTTTATAACGATCTCAAAAGTGTCGTGATAAATGCTAGTTATATCAGTAGTTCGTTCTATACGGACTTGCCCATAAAAACCGACACCTGTTGGCCTAACCGTTTTTTTCCCTTTGTACATTTATTAAAAAGTGCGAACTCTTCGGCTGAGAAGTTAGGCCTTAGGCCTTTCTGCGTGTTAAAAGAGGCCCATTACCTCACAATTAATTCAACCACCTTCGCAATGCACTCAAGCCGTTTCAGTGAAGTGCGGTAACGCCACGTCGAACCAATCATCCCTGAATAGTTGCGTGCAGCAAGTAGCTTACTCGGCTCTTGGCATCACATGTTGGGTCGTTTGAAGTCTAATTAATGCGTGCATTTCTGCATTCTCTGTACGAATGAAGAACGCACAACTTTGTGCATGCTGTACTTGAGAACCTGCTTGGGTTCGGCGAGAACGGTTCGTTTAACACAAGAAAGACAAATTATGCAAGCAACGCATGTAAGCAGCTTTTCACCACATGATGGGGGCAAACTTAAGAACAGTAGCATGACGTGCTTGTACTGCCGTCACTTGCCGAGCAGATATCTGGAGATGACTGTGATAAGGGTGCCAGCGTCGAGCCGAAATGATACATTCATCGCCACCGGCCACCTCGCCTTCGCTCTTTTTCTGATGCTTAACCATTAATTCACCGCCGCAACCGTGCGGGAGTTATCACAGTAGTTCTAGGGAAAGGTGTAAAATCTTTTTTGGCACATTGTGGTGTCGGCGAGTTGAGCGCCGCAATCGCTTCTCGCATTTATGGCTTCTTGCGTTCGAAGGCATTGTCGTTTAATTGTCGGCAGTCGTAGGCGCCAAGAACGGCGTCAGAAACATTTGCCATGCGATAGCTGACCGCAAGTCTTCACAACGCCTCCTACTTCTTTTCTTCTTTGTCCCCCTCACTTCTGTTCTGCTGGTGAAGAAATGTTTGGAAAGTGAGCGACCTCGCTCGCAGCGTCCAAAATTTGAATGCGGTGCTTGCTGCGGTCCTCGATATCTTCGTCACAAGTAAACTGCAGCGGAGCACACATGAGCGCGCACCTATTGCATGCTTTAGAATGCCCGTTTCTACTCTTTTTTTCTTTTCGGTTCGTATGCACCATATTTTTACCACGACAGTGTCTGAAGTGTTCGTCGTACAATTAGAATGCTTTTTAAAATATTCACTGTATGTGGACTAAGTTTCAGAGGGTAGCATGTGAGAATGGTAAGTGCACCGAAATATGGTTGTTATAACCGATAGATCGTTATATCTGGGATTGTTATTAGTGGGTTCGACTGTATTCTGTTATCGTAATTGGGAAAAACGGTCATACATGTTCATAGCAAACTTCAGAGTGCCGTGAAGAGTGGTTATTATATTAGTATATCATTGCATGTTGACTTGCCACACACAAATTAATCACTCATGTTTTTTTTTACCACTCACATTTATTACACTGCACTGATAAACCCTTTGGTGACAGTTAAAGGGACACTAAAGTCTACTATTAATTCGAAGTTAGTTGTTGAAATGGCGCCTCAGAAACATCGTAGTGTTACTTTTGTGCCAAGGAAAGGCCTATTTTGAAATAAAGTTACGTTTTAGAGCTCCGCATTGGGTTAGCGCACTTCAAGTTACCCGTCTCAAGAAGCGGACCGACCGGACAGACTCATGTCACTGTTGCCATGCACATTGCCCGGCTTTACTGCGCTAGTAGCACCAGACCAAAAGCAGCGGGAGCCACAGCAGCAACAACGGCCATTTATCAATTTCTCGCCGTTGACTTCGAGATTGGTGACGTTTTTTGTTTCAAATGCACCCTGCTAGATGGCGCCAGTTGTCCTGTGTAACCACGCGAAAATTGAATTTTTGAACTACTCACGCCATTCCCCATAGTAACGTCTGGCGGTTCTTTTTTTTCATGAATCAAACAGAAACAAACAAACAGCATTCTATTGCATCTCTTGATGCATGGAAGGTTCTTCATTTAGTGCAGTCGGATCGATTACTAGTGATTAATTCTAGCCAGTCCATCTGATGTCATCAGGATCATTTTGAAAATGTCCTACTGCGGCGCTTGTGTTCTTGTGCATTTACCTTAATTTCTCGGTAAGTAGGGCACTCTTGTTGATAATATTGTCGTTTTAGATGTTGTCATACATTGAGCTTTCACTCTGACGTAAATTGTTTTTGACTTTAGTGTCCCTTTAAGCCTTTTTGCTTCATGAGCAAGGCTCGCTCATGAGTGAATTGAGCAATGAATTGAATCTGCTGCTATCGGAAGAGTGCTGAAGTGCTGTGAAGTAATTCACCCAGATGTCTTAAAATCTGGTACTAGTTGTAAAGCTGCACAGTAGAGCTAGAATGTAGTACTGCTCACTTTGCAAGAGTATATATACACGTGGCCCTGTTCCATACCTTATTGGTCTGATGATCCTTGTAGGTTCGGTTCGCCTATCTGATGGAATCATTTCATTTTCAGTCAAAAGAACTAAGAACGTGCATTTACAGGTATTATTTTCTTGTAAAATGCACCATCCAGATCAACAGTTTAGAGCGATTGCCTCTGAAAGAAACACGTGGCAAGTGCAAGAAGCTTGCTATCTTCAATAGCACCTTTTAATGTAGAAGATTTATGACTCACTATACTCCGTTTCATAGATCAGGTGCAACGCTGTGGAAGCTATGCAAGAAGTTCGGCCAGCAAGACTGTGCGTTTCGTGGTCGCTCGTGTGACATGTGGTTAGTGCCGGTTTGCCCTCATGTTTAGTTGTGCTCCCCTTTGGCGTGACTGGCGAACAGAAAAACACGGGGTGAGTACAAAAGAACGCAGGTACCTAACGACCCTGTGGTGTCCGATCCTGCACTGACACTGAAAGTCCAGGTGTCCGCTGTCGTAACGTACCCTGAGTAAAGAGCCTATATGTGACGTCACGTGAAAACTAAGCTATACAGCTACATAATAACATACGTTCAACGGCATTTTCGTTTGTAAGGCACCCAATATCTTCAATTATTTCTTGCCGTAATAATGAAAGAAAAATTTAATTATTGGTGGTAAGAACATCGAACTGCTTTTTGTTGCGAATGCATTGACCGCAAAAAGTCTCGCTAGCTTCCACAATGTTGGACATGATGAGTGAAACAGAGTATAGCAATACCTAATTCGGAAATTGTTGTTAAATATTTTAGCCACGAAAATTCAGGAAGTTGTAGTGCCTTCAGTGATCACGTTTAAGACCTGTATTATTCTATTTCTCATGCGGAACTAGTGAAAAATGTGAAGTCATGTTGTGTGGTGTCAATAATGAAGCCATATTTACGAATGATATTGGGGTATCTGTTGCAAATTTTTTGGAGCTCTTGACCTTTTATTTAAAACCTGCATTCATTGGATGGCAGAGTGAAAAGTATGTCTAGAATTCAGGGGTCTGCATCGGCTCGAAAGTAGCCCCTGTACTCGGCGATATTTTTTTGGCCAGAATAGACAGGAATATTCACAAAGGATTGTTCTGTCTGGCCAAAAAAGTTTCTCAATTCGTTGATGATTGTTTAGTTATCTCTGAGAAAGAACTGCAAGGTTGCAAGGTTGTGAATGTTTTGAAGTTGTTTAGGGAATAGGGAATGGGTCTGAAGCTCACACACGAGGTTGCCCATAATAACCAGTTCAAGTTTCTTGACTTAACAGTGCACCTGAAATCAGGACCCATATGTTACTTGTACAGTTCTCAGACAGTAAAATGTCTTGTCAAGTTTAGCTCAGGCCATTCCAAAATTGTAAAAAGTGGAATTGCACTGTCTTGTCTAAGGAGTGCCTTCTGGAAGTCATGCATTCATACCATGAATTCAGCATTTTAATATCGCATAAACCCTCTAGAAATGGCTGTATACCCAGAAAATCTTGTAAGCGGAGCCGGCAAATAGATTATTAAGAATTGAAAGGGTGGACCCGAGCACACGTCTGCAAAATAAGACACAACAGAAACGCTTTGTTGTTTTACATTACATTCATTGGTTTTCACATGAGCTCAAGAATATAGGCAATTGTTTTAGTGTAGATGTTGCTTTTAGTGCGCGTAATAATAATGGAGCATCTGTCGTGAGGCACACAAAAAATTTGAACAGGTTAAGAAGAAAAATTGTGTTTGCCTTGCAAAAGAAAGTGAAAAGTTCGTGAGGCGCAGGACAGGGGTAGTTTATTTATTGCCCTTAACTTGCGGTCGTGTATAGTATATAGGTCAGACTTTAACACTCGCCTTAATGAACATACGAAATATATGGAATCACTCTCACCTAGCCGAGCATTGCAGCAGCTGCTAATGTTATCCTGTTTGGTGTGACACCAACATTTTTGTTTTATTGCAAAGACTCTGGAATCAGTAGAAGCCTTTCATATCAGGTGTGCTGATAAATGTGTAAGCAGCCCATCTATTGCAGGAACTGACAAGGAGTTGACCTTTTTGAGCCATACTTGGGTTTCAGATTCTGCTGCACATTGTAAATAGCACATATCTTGAAAACTTCGTTCATGGAGTGATATCATTTGTTTTTTTTTTTCTTTTGTTTTGTTTTCTTTTCTTGCTTGTTTTTTACACACATGCGCTCTTGAGCCATTCTGGGATACGTACATTCAAACCTCGATATAACGAATCTGGATATGATGAAAAATTGGTTATAACGAAGTAAATGAAAAATTGTATCGCCATAGATTTAGTCTTAAGAATAAACCTTTATCTTTATAATGAATTTTCAGATATAACGATCCTATTTTTATGTAAGATGCAAGTTTGTTATAATGAGGTTCGAGTGTATTTCGTGTATTTCTTTCAATAAACTGAGTTGTGATTTCGCACCTGTTTGTTTTCCCATCCACTTTGCGCACGCCAAAATGTTTCCAGAAATGTCCTCAAAGCAGGTCGCCCGCCTTTCCATACTATTATCATTTGTCGTGAGAAGCTGTTATTGGTGCAAACTGTGATTCATGATGCATTGTTCTGCAGATGAAAGAAAGCTTCTCTTGCAGATGACTCGTGCCCAGCTCAGGGGGCAGTGCCCGATGTGGCATTTGTGTCCCCCACCACGGGGGGTTGGCTTGTGGGGTCAGGGGTCACAGTGGGTGAGTAGTGAGGCGACAGGGGGCGTCTCCTTTTTGCTTGCTGCACCCCTGTCTCCCCACCAGCCAGCTGTTTGGTGGTGTGTCGCTTTTTTTCTCTTTTGGGGAGGGCGCTGCTTCCTTTACGTGATAACACTCCCCTCCTCTCTCTCTACACAGAGGTCTGCATTGAAGACAGTTTTGTTGATGTGCTTGTGGCCACCACAGCACATCAATCTGTTGTCATCCACAGGAGTATGTGTAGCGCAGGGCAGTTTACTTTCCTTGACACCGTGCTACACTTGGCCCAGCGAAGTCACTGTAACACTGACTCGTCAAGTTGAGGACATGCCTGGTTACTGGTGCTTGCACAGCTCACATGTAGAAAGACATCCCTTCACTTACTTGTCTATTCATTGTGCTCACCACCATTATAGCTGTTATCATTCATTTCTAATCAATAATTGGTTCTTCCAGCTCTGTTTATGTTGTATCAAAAATGCTTAATTCATTTCATTCATATCGCGAGCAGACGACAGTTCTTTGCGGACCTCTGTGTTTGACTGAAATCTATTGCTGTTTCAAGGAATGATGTTGCATTGGGTAGTGAATGTCATGCTGAAGGCCATACTAGTTTTAGCATGACATTTTCTCCTTTCCTTTATAGCTTTCTCTCGGTGGTTCGGCGTGTGCATTCGGCAATGTTTTTGTATACAACATTCGCTTCACTCACTCTCGCTGCTTCATACCAGGTTGCTCGTGTGATGTCCAGTGCAGCTTGCACAACTCTTGTGTCGCATCTCACTCTGTAGGCTTCTTGCCCTGCATTGCCATTGAACTTATGCACGTTCGGTTGTGCTCTGATGCATTTGTTATTTGTGTTATGCAAGATGTTTGGTTATATTGGCTTACTAATCTGCTTATTCTATTGCTTCTCTTGAAGGGACACTAAATCAAAACAATCAGTTCATACAGATGGATTATTCTTTGAGCACTGCATTATCAATTATTGTCAATTTAAATTCGTTACTGAGAGAGAAAATACCCATTGTTGTGCTCTCAAAGTGGATTCCAATTGTTCTTTTTTTTTTCCTTATTTTGGCCGCACTGGCTTAACTAAATTTTCTGAAAATCGGTATGTTAAGTTGTTCGATTTTCACCAATTGGGAACTGCCTTAGTTTTTCTCTTTAGTGTTTTGGCTATCATTTTTATCTTTAGTGCCTGTTTAAAAAATAATCATAATTTATAATCTTCATCTTAAGAGTTTAAATTGCTTCTCTTCCTGCCCATTCTTAACAACTTGAATATAAACGAAGCCAATAGGAACATTATTAAGATTTTAATGAGCAATCTTCTTTTGTTTGATAGGTCACATTAGTCATGTGACTACATTACGACTAACAACATTTAAAGCAGTTTGTCATTAGGATTCTAAAACTTGTAATTTTAGGCCGTACATAAATTTTCTTTTTTCTTTTCACTGTGATAGCCATCACAGGCTCTGGAACAGACAGGCCCCATCCTGCCTTCATAACTACTTATCTCACATGTTCTCAACACTAAATTTGGTACCTTTATTCATGTACAGATAACCTCTATTTTAAGTTTAATGAGAAAGTTCAGCTGGACACATTAGTTTAAAACTAAACTGCAGGACCCATTAGTTAATTCAGAGCAATATGCACACATACCAATTCTTTCACATTTTTAATGCAAAATTAGCTTTTACTTTTATATAATTTAAAAGGCATTAATGTGTCTTGTGATTAGTTAGGGAGTGTTACTTTTGCACTGTATGTAAGAGCTTTCCTGCCCGGCCAATCGGTCAATTCACCATGGGCTTCATTCTTGAAAAGGCATCCATGGTGACTGGCACATAATATGGAACTGTCCTGATGTGGACAGCAAGATTAGCTATGAAATGCCACTTTTCATGGTGTCGTATCAAGATAAATGCATAGTACCATCTGTGAAAACACTGACTTGTCAAAATCAAAAACCAGTATGGGAACATGAGAGAGTGGCATGCAGACTTCTAAAGTGGTACCATCACTCTCTTCTTTTTCTTTATCCCTGACCTTGCCTTTTACTGCTTCGCAACTACTGAGTCAGTCTTCCTTTTTCCTTCATTTTCAGCACAGTTTGTCTTGTAAGAATCTGGAGAATTGCAAAGGAGTTCTGCAGAAACCCACAAGGTGGCAGAAAAATTAAGGAAAGGAAAGAAGAGAACCACCTGTTCGTAGTACGAAGCCACAAGAAAGTACAAACAAATTTCTCGGAAAGAAATGCCTCTTAGTTGCTAAAAAAATTTGTCCTGGTCCGAGGTTCGACCAACGCCTTTTTGGGGTGGTCGCACCGCCAATTGTGCCAACCTTCCTTTTGGCTTCATGCAACAAACGCGTGGTTTTCTTTCCCTTTCTTAATCTGGAGAAGGCAATACCAACCAACCCAAGTGGCAACTCTTTTGGAGAAAATTGAACTTGTCATTCGTTGATACCTGTTCATATTTATACCATGGAGTTTTCAAAGAGCCACAATTGAAGAGGCCTGTTAAACACCACTCTTGTGCCACTGTTGGCACAATTATGCAATTGTGCAAACAGTGGTATAACAGTGGCACAGTTGAGCTGAGAGCACTCTTCCTTCTTCACAAATCTGTCCTGTCAAGTCTGTCCTGCAGAAGAAGGGTAGTCCAGTCTCCTCAAAGGGATTGCAAACAACCTAAGAGTAGCCCAATGAATAGCTTTTATAGATTTACATATAATCAAACCTAAACTGCAGCTGGTAAAATTAAGAGTATGCCCTTGTTGGTTGAGCCATGCTGGCAGGCACTTGTAGCTAGAGTTCTTCACACAAATTCTAAAGCTCCCAATACGCTCTCTATGTCAAATCATGGACGTCTGTTGATCATAATTTCACCTGTACCCTGTGGGGATCTGAGGCGCGCGCCGCCACCATTTCGCGGGCATTCCGTCGTATGGCCGCTCTCCTTTTTTGCGTGCGCACTGAAAAGGGTCTCTCCTTCGTTGGCCAGCGCCCGGTAAGCACGTAGTTTTCCTTTGCCCGCATCCCCTTTGGGAATCATCGTACTGTAGCCTGTCTGGGTGCCTAGGCATCCCCGGCGGGGGGGGGGGGGGGGGGGGGGGGGGGGGCATATCAGCCGGGGGGGGGGGCAAGAGGGGGGCAAGGAAGGTGTGAGCCCCTCCACTGAGAAAACTTTGGGGGGGGGGGGGGGGGCTGAGCTTCCCCCACTTTTGGCTGCACGCTAGGGAAACCAACAAGCAAGGCGTAGTTTTCCATCACAACATTAATCATTCAACTATGCTCTTACGTGGCAACGAAATTATTACAAGGCTATCATTACAACATAGTGAAAATTTTCCAACATTGTTGCTGTGATGATTTTACTTGTAGGTTCATATATATATATCCCGGCTGACAAGTGAGGTAGGATTGCCCCATTCATTCGCGAAAGAGTTGGTACGCCACTGACCGTGCGCTAAGCCAACTGCCGTGCCTAATGCTTCAACTGGTCGCACCACACCTAGCCGTACTTTCCATAGGCCTACGTGTACGAGGTTTGCCCTAACTCTCGCGACCAGACACAGTGGCCATAGTGAGAGTGTGCATCATAGCCCCGAGGGACCTATTCCTGACCAGCATGTCAAAAGCTTCTCATTGCGAGCGGCAACGTGCTCGCGGTTTCTCCTTATCGTCAACGTCCGCGTGCGGAAGCCTTTGCTCTCCACGTCCCGGGAGCAAACGTTGTTCTGTTGTTCGGGGTGCCGCCAAAAGCAATAAAGTGTTTGTGTGCTGCGGGTAATCGAACACTGTCTGATCTGCTACGCTGTGCTAAACGCTTTGTTAGTTGAGCGCTCACAGAGGGGTGCGATACACGTGAGTTGGTGACGGAGATGCGGCCCTGTGGCTTGCTAAGCCTGAACCCGCGGTGATCATCCACTACGGTGAGTAGCGAGGCCACCACAACCCCAAAAAACAAGCTAATAAATTGCATTTTTGTGCGTGGCATCGCAGAATCTCACAAGCTGAGCCACATTCATCATGTAAGCAGGGTATTTATTCTTTGTGGCTTGCATTTTTCAGATGATACTGCAGGCTGGAATTGCTATTCGACCTTTCTTGAAGGGTGCCCTGCAATAGTTACTCAAGTAACCATAGAATACATTCAGTAAAGCAGTTTATTGCCTCATGAATGCACTGCCGCAAAAAGTCTTAGAGTCCATTCAATAGAGCCGAGCTACAAAGATTTGTCGTATGCTGCCACTGCATTTTCCCTTCTCTTGTCCCGTAAAATGTGCTGGAAGCTAAGCAGGGAGGGATGGCATGGGGAATGAAAATACTATGTCACACTCGCCTTGTGACCTTGAGTAGTAGTCTTTTTTGCTTTTGAAAACGCAACTTTTCAGTCCAATTGCACTGAAAAGTTGGTGCACTCAGTTGCTCCAGTTCTTGTAAGGACTTAGTGCACCATGCTGAAATCAGCTCAAGGCTGATGCATCGGCTGTGACAAGGGATCTTTAAGCTTGTAGTGTCATTTGTCGAGAAAAGAGAAAGCAATTTTTAGCCGCTCTTGAAAATTTTCTTGTGGATTACAGGCCGCGTGTTGCACTACTACCGATTGGCTGCGTTTTCTGAGCATGCTCTAATGTGTTGCAGGGCTCCTTTAAAAAAACAATGACTTGACTTAAATTTATAAACTGCACTCTGAGAATTCTATTGACATAAGGGTCACTATCGTAAGTTGATTATCAGCAGAGATAATCACAATGGAAGTTTTCATTTTTAAACTTTTCTCCAAAATCTCTCTACATGACGTAAAAAATTTTTTTGGAATGTATTTTTAGAATTTTCGTGGCGCTGGTGTGATAAAATTTTTTGAAACTTTGTATGCTAAGTCTAAGGCACCCACAGATTACAATGTGCTTAATTTTTTATCAAATGGAAGATACGTTGGACCCAGTGGACACCTTGAAAATTTTTTGTCACATTATTTGGTGCGGAATGCTCAAGGTGGCATCGTCACTTGAATTTTCTTTTTGCGCGTTTTCTCGCATACTAAGCATTGTGTCGTGGTACAAAGTGTGCTTTCAGGATTGCAAAATTGTACTTTACTGATACACAAAAATGTTTTTGCCCTGTAATGTTCCTTTAACCATTTCAATGTCGCTGACATACCGGTACGCTCTTGGTTTTCTTCCTCGCAGTGTCACTGACGTACTACTTGTACATTTTTCATTTTATGTTAAAAAATTTGCGTAAATGTAAAACTGGCGTGTTTTTACTGGCCGTACAATTTAATCTTTCTAGAAGCTTGTATTTTCACCTGACATTGTGTTGGTACATATGTTAAAGAGTACAGATCAACTGCACCCGCCATTCCTTGCCGTGTGCTTCTCTCTGGTTCTGAACGACCATGCAGCACATGTGCGATTATCATGGCTACAAGGGTTATTCTGCCATCTGCCACAGGTTTCAACTGCATCGTGTCAACATCAGTATGTGGTGCTGACATGGTGGGGCAGTTGGTCCAAAAAGTGTGTATGGCAAACCAAAATGGGTAGAAAAAAGGCAATTTATAACGCAGGCTGTATCCCACTGATGCATCATGTTCCAGACCGCCCGCAAGATCAATTCAACTGAATGCGGAAGTGGTTGATTATTTCAAGCTTTCCTAATATTATCGAAAACAAGCCGACAGCAGGTATGCATAACAGCCTGAAACATCCATCAGTAAAAGGGCTAAATATACTTTTCTTGGCTGCAGCGACTCTCGCAATGACAGTGAAGATGGTAGCGATCGCAGTGATGTGCGTTCTGTACAGTCGCTCCTAGATGGCATGCAGGTCACTGCCTTGTAATTAAAGGAATGCTCGTAGCATCTATCTTGTAAAAACTTGTCCGTGGGCATGTCCAGATGAACAGTTTTGCTAGTGTTACGATTGGGGAACTTGCAGCACACATGCTGCTGTTTGGGTACTCTATAGCTGGCTCTTGGCCACACAGACTCTCGCAGACGTGGCCCACAAGTGCCCTGCTTGGTGTCTGGCCCAGGCGAGGACCCCATGACGCGCAGCATGACGGCGCTGCCGAGCCAACACAGCCGTGGAAGACGCAAGACGGACCTGATGCCAGTGATCCCGTGGAACCGGAGCTGTGCCGCCTCGCGTTCTCGATCGCCAGCTACGGCCCCGTCGTCTTCATCAGGTGTGGCTCAGCGTGCCGTGAGCATGTCGCGCCTGGATGTGCTTGCACAGCCCCGGCGGCCCCGGCTGCTTCCGGCCAGCCCCAGCACGAGTGCTGCCACACCGCCAAGTATGGCTGCCAAGAGCATGCTCAACTTGTCTTCGGGCAGCCCTCCCTCCAGGCGGGGGGTAGACATGTCGCAAAGCATGCTGCTGCCGGGCAGGGGTGGTGGGCTGGGGGGCAAGCTGCGATCGGCACGCAGCATGAGTCAGCTGGCACCCCGCCCTACGCGTGCCTCCCAGCTTAGGGCCACCAACAGGATGATGGGTAGGTGTCTGCACTAAAGTTTGCTTTAGTTTCTCACAGTGATATTCAATTTACTAGACTACTTCTACTCTGCAACAACACATACAGCAGTGGTTGATCATGGCCGTCTATTTTTATTTTTTTCGCTGCATTTCATATTGTCTAAACCAACAGGCAATCTTTATTTAGTCATCACAGTAGTAATTGAACTGCAGTTATTGTTTGAAAGTATATAAAAAGTTGGGAAACCATTGCGTGCCCTGCCTTACACAAGCTAGCTGTAATGTTCAAAAGAGTGTTGCTCGGAGGCAAGGACACCCTCTCATTGGCATAGCTCCTTAAGCGACATTTGAGAAAGTGGAAGGGGCACCTAGAATACAGGAGGTAGAGCAAGGACTGGTGTGGGTTGTGTCAAAGAAACCTTATTCAAGAAGTCGACACGGGCGAGGCATGTAGCAAGAAGGCAAGATAACCGCTGGACAACAGGCAGGGTGCACGAGAGGTGAGTGAGATGAGCAAATGAGATTGGGAGGAAAAATGACCAATTTAATTCATAGGAGAGGCTTTTTCCATGCAGTAGATGCAATCGGGCTAGTACATTATAAGTGCTTATTTTTAATGCAAGGCCTACGAGAGAATCGGATAGACCAGGCCTTGTCTCAACCTTCCCTTTTCTTCAATTGGGATGACATGTGTTTCGTTTTAAGAGCGCACAGTACTAGTACAGTGCAAGTCTACTGATTTTAAGTTCTCGTCAGTTCAGCAACTATGATTGACATATCAGTGTTGCAAAAAAAGAAAAAAAGACAAACCAAATGTGTGGAATTTTCCGTGGACTCTTAAGGGAAGATGCTACTCGAAGACACTTTTTTTTTTAAATATTCACCCTGGAGCAATGAAACTTGAGCTATTTATGGAACTTTAGGCTCATGTGCTCAGATTTGGGTGCACGCTAAAGAACAACAGGTGGTCGAAATTCCCGGAGCCTTTCACTACGGCATCCCTCATAATCATACAGTGGTTTTGGGACGTTAAACCCCACATATAATTTGTTTATGGAACTTTTTATGCTGATTTCAAATACGTAATTAGTTTTCTTGCAAGTTGCATACATTTAGCCTTGCAACATTACAAACTGAAAATATTAATTCTTCTGCCCCCCCCCCCCCTCTTTTCATCCCTAAACTTGCGTAATTTTTTACCATTCATAGTTCGTAATGTTTCAAATAAAGTGTAGAATGCGTGAAAAATAAGACGTAAAATGTTCATATTTCACCTACCCTAGTGAAGGCTTGTTTGCATACAATTTTTATTATACAATAAAATATTAAAATACAAACTAGATAATTGTATTTGTCATACTTTGGAAAAAATTGGGCAAAATTTCATGCAGATCTGAGTACTAGAAGTGCCCGAAAAAGGAGGGGCACATTGAAAAAAATGACAATATTTGTGTTTTCAGAAAAACGATTTTTAAAGTTAGAATTGAGTTTTTATTTATGAGAGATGTCATTAAATCTGATGAAGTTTGCACACCAAAAAGAACAATCTTTCCTGTAGTGGCCACTGCCACTAAAATACGCCAGCACCATAAGTTTGTCCCTCTCGACTTTTTCGAGCCAACTCTTTACAAACATTTAGCTCACAGACAGGGCCATGAAACGCTTGCCAAATGCTTGCCGTGCCGTCTGGCAGAGCTTTGTGCCAACTGCAAGCTAGGAAGAAGTTCTACAGGACTGCGAAATTGAAACTAAGCCCATTGTCATGCCGTTTTGCAGCCATGTTTGTGCCACATACCGTCTTACATATTGGCAAGGTCGTCCCGTTAAGTTCCCTCACTGCTAGCTCCTTCGACCTTGCAAGATTGGCGCTGACATCATTCATTGCCGCATCACGAACTTTCCGGCTGACCGGTGTGAATGACTTTTGATGCATTGGTATTTGCAAGCCAACAACTGCCGCAAATCGGACCAGCTGCTCGTAGCCTATTACTACAGAGCATGCCGCACAACAACCTTCACGTGTGACCAATGGCTTTTTTCATTTATAACGGAGATAAATACACGAGAAAAGCATTGTTCAGCTGCGCTGCTCGACAATACAGGGACCCCGCAAATAGGCTTCGCAGCACATACAGGCACGCAGCGGCCAAAGGCGGTCCCCGATCCGTACCACGTGATAAGCCTGTTGCGGCGCCTGAGAAACGCGCAGAAGCGTGCTTCTTTTTATTATTTCATGCGCTGCATCAGCGAGGGAAACTTGTTATTTGAAGAGTAAGGCTCAACTCTTCGGCTCATGCGATCAACATTGGCTAGCGACGGCGCATTATCAGCGAAAAGGTGCTCGAAGACTGCACACTTTGGCTTTTTAACTGGCACCTTGTGCTCTTTAGTTGCAATTTTAAAGCATTTCCAGTCAAGTCTTGACCTGTATTTTTTTTTCATAACAGTAGAGGTACTAATTTTATCAGAACAGGTGAAAATAAAAAAAACTAATTTTGAAGAAAACTCGCGTTTTTCAACTCGCATCTCCCCTTAAGCAATAAATGTAGGCTTGTGCAGATAATTGAATGCTCCGAGTATTCGAATAAGTATTACTGTATTTGGATCCGAATTTAAATTGTTGAAAAATTTTGGAAGTATTTGAAATGAATAAATTGGTGTATGTTCGCATGTAACCCACTGTAGATGGGATTTTGCTGCTGTAAAGCAGTGCTAAGCCATGAACACCTATCCATAAAGCCCCACTTCTAGGTAAAGGAACTTATTAGCCTCACCATCGATTGATCATCTTTATACTGGCTTATATGCTCTATAGTAAATTCTAAAACATAACGTATTTTAGAGGTTATCACTTGCATTCTAGCGAGTCGAATCCTGCTGCTGTTCAAAGTTGTTTCTACATCTGAAACTAATGGCATTTTCACAAGCCTTGTTTAACTTTTTTGAAAATATTGTGCAGGTTAGTTAGGTCATGATACACGTGGTCATTTTTCTTTACAATATGTGATGTATATATTCGAATACGGTTAGAAATTATACAACCAAAATCGCTGCTATTCACTTCAAACCTAAAATTCACTATTTGCATAAGTCCAATTAAAAGCACTTGTTCTCCTTAGCTCACCATTTTCATGACATATTGTGCTACTGCTTCACTACACAGTAAGCAGCAACTTTTCCAATAATTATCCACCATGAAAAGAATTATTCGATAACAAATTCATTTGTGCTTAGCAACTGACCAGTGGCATGCTAGTGAGTACCCTGACCACGGTGATGGGTTCCTTGCAACCATCTGTGAGTATATGCCATCCTTCTCATGACTTTTCACCAGCATGGAATACTTCTTGAACATGCATGCAATTCTCTGTGCTGCCTGGAGGGAGGGTGGGCCTCAGTGAAATTTTTTCTCTGCCTCACTGACTCATTTCACTGCTTTGGCTACTTTCACACCTAGAAGAATGTGTACCTAATAATTGTATGCACGACTGGCTGGCACACTGATTTACTGATGTGGGTTCCTGGCTTTTCTAACTTGCACGTGTGCTTACCCTTTTCTAATTGTGTTGTTGTGCTAGGTTGAAACAAGAAGGTGACGTTAAGGTGACACTAAAGTGAGAAACAATGGCTTAGTTCAGATTGGCGATATGTACTTTGAGAACTCATATCACATGTGTCATCATCATGAGTTCATTATTAGTGGATGAAATCAAGGTTTAAGTCTCATTTTTAAATTTCGTGCCGAAATCTTCTCATGTGATGTCGCAAATTCCAAATGTATTTTTTCGTATTTTTTCAACATAGGCCGGATTAAATTTTCTGAAACTTGTATGCCACCCGGAGACCGCAGATGTACTTCACATTAATCGATTAGAAACTCTGTAGGACCCAGCAGATGCAGTCAAAATTTGATGTCACAGTGCTTGGTGTGGGAAGGCGGCATCTCCACCCGTATTTTGTCCTCGCGCGTTTTTTCGCTGACCATCTCGCGGTAAGAATAGACGGTGGAATCGTGCTTTTCTAAGTATACGAAAAATCATTGTTCTCTTTAGTGTCCTTTTAAAGGAGTACCGATATGAAGTGCCGCAAAACCATAAAATGGACATTATTTTTTGTTTGTTTTCTTGGCATGCAGGATTAAAGGAGTATTCGCTCAAAATTTCACCGTTGATGTCGCATGCTGAATCGATTCCTGGAAACATGCGTACAGTCGAGCCCACATATAACGGCCCCACTTAAAACAAACTTTCGCTTAAAACGAACAATATTCGCGTGACCGTCAAAATATACATTAGTTCAATGGCACAAAATCGCACTGATCGGTTACAGCGAACGGAGTCCACGGTCTGCCGACTTCCCGGGAAACCAATTTCGAGCACCGATCAGGCATCGGCGAGGGGCCCATACATTTTTATTGTTAAAAACCGACCCTGCCTTCGTGACCCTCTAGTTGCCGCTCTCCCCGACCGCTTTTTGTTACGCACCCCTCCGTCCTTTGTCACCCCCGCTATCCTGAGTACCCCGAATCGCCAGACGAGGCCCGTGTTTTCACACTGCCACCGATCTTTCGAAGACCGGTCGGCCATCAACCCTGTTTTTGATCGCTGGTACTGTCAGCGTCACCGGCCTGGAGTGACCAGATCATTTGCCAACATCGTCGGCCACCGACTGTATTTGATAGTCTGCGTCTAGTGCACACACGTACGCTACCCCACCGACTCTGATAATTTGCGATTAGTTTCGTGTTTAGGATATGTTTTCGCTCACTTCGCACTTCGCTGAGCATGCCTTCCGCGCGCATGCGGAAGCGCAAAAACGACTGTTAATTTGCGCGGAACGAATCGCGAAATACTAAGTTCGTGAGGCCACGCAAACCCGCCGGCGCAACGAAACGATTTTTTGACAACAGCCGCCGATTCTTCCAATATCGCCGCGCGCACCGATTCAGGTGGCCATGCACTCTTTCCAAGTTTTTCTATGTGCGAGTTTCGCGGACCTTTCAAGCAAGCTACCCAACTTGCCTTCTTCTCGTGCGTTTAGGTTTTCAAGGTCGCCCTCCTGCCGCATCCTCCCCTCTCTTTATCGCCGCAGCTCCTTGCCCTTCTCTTGCAAGTCCGCTCACATCTCTTGTTCACAACCCTTTCGCCCGTCTCCGCCGCTCCGCGACACCCGCCACGCTGGCTCGAATTCGTTTAGTTTTCTGACTGAAAACGGGCCTAGAGCTGTTCCACGCGCTCTGGCATGTGTGTCGCGTGTGCGCGTCTTGCTCGCTCTTGGTGTGCGTGTGTGGTCATGATGGCGGACGGGAGGACTAGCACGCTTTTTCGTGCCGCTCAACAAAATGTCGAAACTGTAACCGCTTGGCTTGAGCGTAATCAGCGCGTTAGGTGCCGCGTTGCGGAGCGCTTGCTCATAGCTGTTGACCACCTGGCAGCCAACTTGCCGCTTCGGGCATCCCGGTATTCGGTTGTTGAGATGGTGAATGTTTCGGGGGCAGCGGTGACGGCTACATGCGCGTGAAACTGGTTTCGCGAGGTTTACTCGTCGACGTCAGGCCCGATGCCGAGCCTGAAGCTTCCAAACTGCGGCGGCGATTTGTGGCCACGCGTAGTCGACTCCGACTTGGGAGAGCGGGTGGGACATCTGTTGCGATGTTTTAATTACGGCCGATGATGATGCCGACACTGCGGAACCGTGCATGAATTGGGGCATTGTGAATTAAGTACGTGGCGAGAGCGATTTGGAGGAATCGGATTGCAAGAATGACAACGTTGAAGCCAGTGCCTCAGGCAGCTTATGCCGCGGTCCTCGGCGAACAAGCACCCTGCCGTTTTAAATGAACTCGAGACCACCTTAATCGCTACTGCTCTTCGAAACACGTGCATCGCAGACTTTTTGGGGCAAAAAGTGTGTTTTCACTCGCAACTTTTTTTAAAAGCTGTGTTTCATTTACTACGAACTTCAGGATACAGCGAACGGATGCTGCGTCACGCTCAGGTTCGTTATAAGCGGGCTCGATTGTATATCGTTTACCAAATCTCAACAGTAAATATGGCTTACAAGGGGATTTATATGAATTTTTGTGTTTGACTTCTTAATGCAGGGCTACCTATGCACTGCACTTTTCAACATTGGCATCATCTAAGCTGATTTTGGGTGAACTCCCAACTTCTGTTCCCATTAGAGCCAAGCTCTGTGCTGATGCACTTAGATGAGGACATCATAATCGCGATTTCCCTTGTTCAGTGACTTCTAGTATATTTGTTCACTGCTCGCAAGCCCGTGCCCGCAGTGAACGTGTGGAAAGTTAAGAAGCCCTAAGGAAGTTATCACAATGATGATGACGACAATGACCGCAATGTCTAGGGCAGCATGTGTAGCAGATGAATGAACACTAGCAGACTATGCAGGCAGTGCAGAAGTGTTTCATAGTTCTGTATGCCCACATCGTCGAGTTTGTATACCATGTTTCACATGGTGGTGATTGCACTCGATTTCTTGTCATTTTCTACGGCGTCTCTCACACTCATATAGTGGTTTTGGGACGTTAAACCCCACATATCAATCAATTCTTGTCATTCTCGCAAGCTGTAATTGAGACTGGTCGGTAATGAAATGACTGCAATTATTTTCTGTGGCACACTGCAGCTAGCCAAGTGCCATATTATCACTTAGCATGCTCCAGAGACTTTGCGACAAAAAAAAAAAAAAAAAATCGCTCTTAAATTGTTTTGTGAGTGCCCCTTTAATTCTCTCTATACACTGGACTTCGGAACCAGCATAAAATATTGTTCAGTATTAAAATTTTAATTTCAAGCCTCTGCAAGCTAGCCACAACGCAGTGAACATTATCGTGACTCGTCAACACAGTCACCGAAATCACTGCCGTGAGATGTTTGATGACAACTCATCGTCGTCCAACTACATTACGTAAAATTGACAGCCGATGACAGAGCTGCTGCTAGTATGTCTTAAATTGCGGTCCCCACATGACTTACACGTACATCAAACTGTGTTTGCATGTCACTGTAAAACAGTCCCCTTTGTATCGAAATGAAAAAGTTTTTAGAGCAACAGTATGAAAAATATATTAGCTGTGCTCCAAAGGCACCATGATAATCTTGTTAGGGTTTTCGGCACTGGATATTTTATATAAAGTGACAATAACAGAATTTCTAGAATGGACATAAGTACTTCTTGAAGTGACAAAACGTAATGGTCCTTTTCCTTGCTTGGACAGCATTTCTATTTCTTACAAGTGCATGGAAGTTCCCACTTGTGTGCCTGCCCTTTTCCTGCAGCAATATTTTAAGTTTTTCATCGCTGTTATATAACAGTACATTCTATGAACAGTTTCCTTAGACCTAGAGTAGTGAAAAAATCATTTGGCTGTTACAGTGAATTAGTAGTGTTATATCACTTAAGATTTACAGATTTTTTGCTTTCTGAGCAGTGTTATTACCAGTGTTATTTTTAATCAGTGCTTAATTTTCACCACGTACAAAGCTCGGGGTGTGGTGTGATTATTATAGGAGGGAGAAATAATAATTTTGGCAAATTTCATGCTCAGGCACTTGGACATCAGGCTGCTAAGATGTTTGTTGTATGATTAGGGTGTGGAGAAAGAGAGAGGTATAAATGGATGGAGGTGTTTCGCCGGAAACTACCTGGGAAATTAGAGGCGCACTCGCTTCAGACTTCTTGGTAACATTAATTCCAAGACTTTTTGGAATTCTCCTGTTGTGTAAGTGAGGTATTAAATGTACTCATTATTTTCCTTTGCAGCGAGTTCAAATGGTTGATGAACATGAGTTCATGCTTACCGATTTCATGCATGTGCGTAGGTACGGGCAAGGAGCAACAGTCGCCATCACGACCTCGTTCCTCCATGTCGGTGGCATCGGAACACTCGGTGGCCTCCAGTCAGATGTCTTCATCAGTGGTGATGCGTCCAAGGCCACCGCCACGAAAGCCTCGGCCACTCAGCATTGCTGGCACCATTCCTGACAAAGCACTGCAGAGTAGGCCGAATGTCTCCCCAGATAAGACAGGTAAAGACGCGCTCATACAAAAGACTCTCAGTAATTCAAACCGATGATTCAATGATTCAACTGCCCCATTATGCAACATTTAGTTCAAACTTTTTGCTGGTTCATGCCTGAAAATATTTGCTATTCTTGTTGCTTCTAGCTGAACATTCACGTTTTCATGTCATGAACAATCTAAAATAAAGCCAATTCTCTGCCTTAAGATGAGACGTGGATATTGAAAAAAATTTTTTTATTATTTGTCTGAATTGAATGAAACTTAATACACTTATTCAATTTAGATTCCAAATCTCTAATGGCAAATTTCATTGAGCGAACATGAGTAGAGGGGCAGGGCACTGAGGAGTGGGGAGCAAGTCAGTGAGAGCAGGGCCACTCAACCTGCCACTGGAATGCGCCGCGCTCCCAGAGGACAGGTGAGAAGGCGGCGAGTAGGGAGACTATGCGACTGAAACATTCCAAGCCCTGGGGCAGCAGCCAAATACGCGTGAAATCGGTCAGCCACATAATCTCCATTACCCTAATACCTAGTATGCTTGTGCATTAACTCATTCAGCAAACGTCCAGCTCTCATCGTAGCCATCCGTACAAAACAGCGGTGTCAAACTACACGTGGTTGCTACTATTGCCACTGCGCTCGCTGGCTGAAGGAAAATTTTGAGGCTTTGACATTCAAGGACCACGTGACTCGTCGCACTGCACCTACTCCGCTTTTCAGGTGAGAGCACTGCAAAGTGCTCCTGGCTGCTGTCGGCGCAGCAAAAGCACTCTCGCTCTACCAATGAATGACAGTGCTCCTGCACCTGTTTGATCACTGAAACACACCGGCTCTGAAGAGAGCACTTTAAGCGTGCTTTCGAGTGCTCCTGCTCTCCCAATGGAATTCGCCATAAGTGGATTTTCGATAGCTGCATCAGAACAGAAGATGCTAAAATTTAATAATACACAATTAACATACCTCTTATGGGGCTTTTTGGCAATTTCACCTTGTCAAAGACAAAAACAAAGTATATATCCAGATTGCCTGAGAGCTGGTTTAGCGGTGATGTTAATTTTGTCGTTTGCAACAAACTTCAAAAGTAAAATAAATGAATACAAACGTGAGTGAAAAATTTCTGCCTTATATTGTTTACAATCATGAATTACAATTTGGTGAACAATATATAAAAGAAAATGAATAGCGTCTCCAGCTAGATCTATTCAATACGAACGCATTGGTATTGAACTTGTTATTGTGAGTCAATAAAAAGATGTCAAAATGCCCCGTAAGGCTCCGTGTTACGTCTAAAATCATGAAACTGAGAAAAATGCATTTGAAGTACTTGTAGTTGATAATGAAAGATGCGAGATGGTATAAAATAGGATTGATGTTACATATGGCGCGTGTCATTGGTGGAATGCAATTGTTCGATTTAGTGCGGTGACGTATGCTGGGGGGAGCATTGTAATAAAATCGAGTGGGCAAAATGTACGGAGGATTTATGGTTTACCAGGTTCACCTTTGGAGCTTCGCCCACTCATCATCATTGACTTCGTGGATATGGCGGCATTTTTTTTATGTTTGTCACTTCTACATGTGCTCCAGGAGGCCTTGTCAGTCGTGTTCATCTCTTTTCGGCGATTACTTATCGCGTCCGCAAAGCAAGTCAGCAGTCGTGCTGCGGTGCTACTAGTTCATCTCTGCTTGCAACGAAAAAGCAGAAGCAGTTTTCGCTAAGCGAGAAAGTGGATCGCACCACCAAATCGCACCACAGGAATGTGGATGAGCTAGAAGCCTTCGTGCTGCAAAGTTTGTGTGCACGAGTAAAAAAAACACAGACTTCTTCAAGTAAGCACGCATTTTTTAGTGTTCATTTGTGCATTTGTTTTTTCTTGTGAAAAACGAGTTCAAGGACCCACCGTTTTACAGGTAAGTCGTTTCGGTTGGGGGAAATAAGTGTTTATCGTTAATTATTGGGCTTGCACTATAACGACCTTTCAAAATAACGAATAGCCGCGGCCGCCTGAAGTTTCTTATACCGAGATTACACTGTAGCACTTAAGGGAGGACAGGTGTGAGTAGATATTTTCTCCATTTTTAGATCAAACATGATGAAAATACACATGCTCAAGTAGTTTTTCTTGCTGATTACTTTGAAAAATTTTTATTGTAGGTCAATTATTTATAAGATACACAATACTGTCACTCTGTTGTTTTGGAGGCAATAGGAAAGAAAGTGCTTATCAAAAGGTGAATATTTTTGTATAACTAGTGATTTTGCAGGTGATGAAAGTTCAGGAGTTATGTCATGGCTACCACATACAAAGAAATTCAATGAATTTTAAATATATATGGGCAGCAAAAGGAAATTCTGCTCTCAGCACTTTGTGATACACAAATTGGGCTTTATGTTAACCAAAAAGTCATTACTCTAGCTGTTCTAGATCACAAGATATCAACCCGACAAACTAGTTAAGTGACCAAAAAGCTTGTTTAGAGAAAATTGAGAAAAACAAACCAAACTCATTCAATCGCACAACTGCACTTGAAAAAGCTCAGTATGCACAGGGCATATATGAGCACCTGTGTGGCGCTTTTTCAGCGACTGATGCATACTTCATTTGCTTGTCGCTTCTTGGTTGATGCTGCCGTGCGCCGTCAGTCCTTTTCTGCCATGCGGCTGCGGCTTTGCCAGCTGGTGTTCATGATGTCTTCTGATGCCCTTTCATTGCCTGCGTTGAACTTGAGCACTGCTTCTGCCACATCTGCCTCCACTTCACATGGAGCAGACGATAGCCAGGAGACTTCATCAATAGGGAGGCAAGCTCAAGTCACGTGCGCGAAGTAGCGAATAGGAGAACACTCTGATAACTCTTTTTGCCGCGCATTTTTAACTGGCAATGACTGAATCGGGCCGGTTCTGGCGGGAATTCGTAGGCGAAAGACAGCTCTCTCAAAAGAAATCAAGATGACCACGCTGGCACTCATGAAAGGACAGGGGCACATTGCGGAATATGAGCAATTTCAACATGGATTTAGGCTCAGATTTAGCTAATAGCCACTGTATAAGCGGTCCTGGCAGCTAAAATAACGATATTATAGGCATGAAATTTGTGGTATAAGTGCACTAGTACCTGTAGATTTCAAAAATGCAATTTCTTTGCGATGTTTTGGTCTCTACAAGCCATGTCCCCCCTCAAGTAAAATAAAACTTTCTTGTATAAACTGCTTTCAGTCTTGTAATGTTTAGTCTATGCAGTTAAAGCTGTGCATTAAATTTAGAATGTACTTCAGTTCAGTTTTTGTTTATTATTCATTCATTCAATTATTTACAATAAATAATATACAAGCAAGAGTTTCATACTTACTCATAGACTGCAGCATGACTTATTATTGTGTTGACCTGTACAATTACTGGGACTAGTGTATGCGCTCCTGTTGTGTACAGCAAGGAGCAGCTGCCACTTGGAACGCAGAAAGCCATGAGCCACCTCAAATAGCTCTTTTTTTCCGTCTCTTAATGGATCCGTTTTAAATGTTTCCTAATGGATCCATTCTGAAGGGGGTCATATTTAATAAGTATCAACTTCTTAAACCATCTCAATTCAGATTCTGTAAAGACGAATCAGCTGAGTTTGTTTACTTGAACAAGAAGAATATATAACAACACATCTAGAAATCAAACGTATTGTTGATGGTGTATTTGTAGGTTTTTATAAGGCCTTTGACCTCGAGGACCATAACACCTTGGAAAGTAAGTTGTGGTATTATGGTTTCCGAGAGAAAGCGCTATAATTATCGAACTCTTATCTATTATTTGGGCAACAAGTAGTATTAATTAATGGCATACAGTGAGAATCATCTCTTATACAACGTCTCTGAAGGAAGTATACTAGGATCTTTACTCTTTTACATTTATTGACGTTATTTCAAACCCAAAGTTTGTCATCTGTACAGATGATACAAGTCTATTTTTTGCCTGGAAGAGCATACATGACCTTATCGATCTATGTAATGCCACATGAAAAGCTCTTGAAGTTTGGTCTTAAGCTAATTTAATGAAGATTAACGAGGGTAAGGCTAAGACTGTCATTTTTGGATTGAAAAGTAAACTGATCCAACCACATAGAGATATTATCCTAAATTCTCACCCTGTCGAAATAGTGGAGCAGTTCAGATGCCAAGGAGTCATATTTTCTTCCAGTATGGCATGGGATTATGTTGTTGTCCATGTATCACTCAAAACACCTCAGATTGCTTAGTCTATAGGACGTTTAATGTACCATATTTACTCGCGCAATAAACTCACTTTTTTTTTTCTTGAAAAATCGGAGCAAAGTTGGGGGGTGCGTTTATTATGCGGGGTAAGTTTTATGAAAACGTCTGTATAATTATGTTATTCTTATGTTTTGAATTGTATAATTTTTATAACTGCCTCCCTACTGTATTTAAGTTTGTAGGCTTGACAAGCTGCCTTTAAGTGGCTTTTACCTACAGCCCCTCCATCTGTGTTTGTAAGATGGGAAGTGAAGTGAAATAAATAAAACGAGACGTGCAAACAAATAACTATTCATTTCATCAAGTTAATTGGCTCACACATGTGCTACCACTGTTATCGATATGCAATGCTCCAGTCATAAGATGCGTTTCTTCATTTCTGTGCTGGTACACGACTGTCCATTCATCGAATTTCAGTGTGCACTTGCATTCTCAGTAATGTAAAGAAAGATGTGTTTGTTCTTGCATGCCCTTTTAGAGTGCATGCATACCAAGTAACTCGGCTCTCTAACTCTTGCTAGCTTCGGCAAGGTGCTAAGTGCTCCTTAATAAAGTCTGTAGCTAATGGCAGCGATGCACACCGCAGCATCTGCTGTGGTGGAGAAGAAGAAGGCGAGATCGTCCAGCGGTGCTGAAGGCACTGCACCCGAGGTGCCGCCAAAGCCGGCCCACCTACGCAAGCCACAGAAGCCTCAGCCACCAGCGGCCTCGGCCTTCAGGAGAGAGCCACGCTCTGCTCCTCCTGCCGCTGCCAGAAGTGCCACCAAGGACACCGCGCCCAAGGAGCGGCCAAAGGATCCCCTGCCTGCTTCCCTGCCAACGGCAGCGGTGGCTCCGATCGTAGCATCTGCAGCTGGAAAACTAGTCCCTGTAGCTGCGGCGGCTACAGTTGCAGAGCCCAACACAGCGCCCCCGGATGTAGTTGCCTCAAACGTTGTCACAGCAGGCAACCAGAAACAGAGGGAACCTTCTACAAAAAAGAGCCATCCCGAGGCACAGGCTGCAGTGGATGAGCAGGTGACTACGTCTTTCTAGGCTTGTGCAAACAGTCAGTTTTAGGTTCGAAGGTAATTCTGATTTCATCGATTAATTTCGAACGTCAGTAGTATATATAACATATTGTATTGTCATGGTTTAACTAACCTGCTCAATATCTTTTTTTTATTTGAAGCAAGGCTTGTGCAAACGTCATTCTTAGTGGTTCAAAGGAAGTGTAAGCAACTTGGAATATGATTCTGTGTTCAGTAAAATGCAAGTGATGACCTGTAAAATAGTAGACTTCTGTTAAACAAAAGCTGAAGGGACCAGGAAAATGTGTTTCATTTATTTCTTTGTTTACTGGGAAGTAAAGAGGGGTGCAGTGTTCAAGTGCAAAACGAATTATATTAGAGACAGGTGTTTCATTAAGAAAGGTTTACTTAAAGTGAGTGTACAGTACATTGTGTTTTAAAATTTAGTATGCTAACTACATATATTGATTGATTTGTGGGGTTTAACGTCCCAAAACCACCATTTGATTATGAGAGACGCCGTAGTGGAGGGCTCCGGAAATTTTGACCACCTGGGGTTCTTTAACGTGCACCCAAATCTGAGTACACGGGCCTCCAACATTTCCGCCTCCATCGGAAATGCAGCCGCCGCAGCCGGGAATCGAACCCGCGACCTGCGGGTCAGCAGCCGAGTACCTTAGCCACTAGACCACCGCGGCGGGGCGCTAACTACATATAAGCCAGTATAATAAGCTATTAAACTTCAGAAATGATGAGTCAATGTCAGTGTGGAACATTCAAATCTCATTAAAACAAAGTTGAATCTTACACGAAAATAAGCTTGTTATATCTGAATAGTCGTTATAAAAGCTGATTTTTAAAACTATATTTCCAAGACCATTTTTCAGTTACTTGTTATAACCAGGGGTGCAACAGCTACGCCAATTTGATACAATTTCCTATTCTTGGGCGGAGCTGCGCCAAAACCATGAAATTTGCTGAAATTGTGCCACGCTGTGCCGAAATGCCCAACCAGCCTCGAAGTTTTCTCAGTTGCGCTAATTTCAGTGAAAACGATGGCCCCCTTGGCTATCTGCTTGCAGTTTGCGTCATCAATCAATTCAAGAGCGCAGACCCTAACCCTAAACCACGGTGTAAGATATATCCCCATTAGGTCAGAGCACTCCCGACACGCAATCGACCAGATAAAGTAACAAAGCCGCGTGTCACCAGTCCGCTGATCGCTGCGGATACCCATCGGCGAGATGACACAACTTGGAAACAAAAAATTGTTGCTGTGGGCACCGACACTTTGCAGGAAATATGAACCTCCTAGTCAGGAAATGTGGCTATGTCATGTTAGCAGCCAAAGCTGGGAGAATATGCCCGTTTCCACCGCGCGCAAACTAACTCGACGTGCCGGGAACGCCGGTGACCACGTTGGTTGCCATAGCACTGGCACATAGGACATTTTTCTGTCTTGGAAGTTGCGTCGTGCCAGCGATAAATATCTGGTGCCATGGACGCGCCAACAAGCACGCGCCGGGGTTGCTTTATTTTGTCGAATGCACTTTGCAAGCGAGACAAGAAGTTGTGCCCTAAACCTAATCCCATCATGAAAAAAAGAAAGGGTTGGGGGGGGGGGTATTTCATGACTTGTTATAATTCATGCAGAACTCTGCTTAATCCATCTTCGTTGCAGTACATCGGTGCCTTGCAGAAAAGCGCATTTTAATTTTGAAGGGGCTGTTAGCACTAATCACCGGACACAGCTCGTCTTGTTCATTTACTCATGCATGTATACGTCACGTAATTGTGGGTACAAGCAGGATCGTTGATGTCTGAAAATGTAACTGACAATTATTTCGAGCAGTGTATGACATTTTTGGCGCCCTAAAAAAACTGTGCCAGTTTTTATTTTTTCGCCACCCCTACGAATCCCTAAATTTCAAGATCGCCAGCTCGGCAGATCCACATTTGAATTCGCAGAGCGGCAAATACTAATGTGGCATTATTATTATTATTTGCTTAGGGAAGTGGTTCATAATACTAATTTTATTGAAATAGCAGTGCTCTTGCTCACACTGCACGATTTAAGGCATGTTGAATGATCTTTACATATATTTTTTTTCTAAATGTGAGACTTTTTTTTTTCATACTGCTCCAAATTTGGTCTTTTGTGATAAAAGATGAATTCCCCGTAACCTTATCAAAGTTATGATTTTTGTGCTCCAAAAGTAACATTTTGCTGCTCCAAAAATTGCTTCAAAATCTTTTTTGGCTGTTGCACACCTGGTTATAATCGATATTTCGCTATATCCAGGTTAGTTATATCGAGATTTGAGCATATTATTTTGCTCATCTAACATGCAAGTGGGTCTGTGGCAGTGTGGATTTTCCTGGACGGGTGTATTCATGGTATAGCACCTATGCAGTGCCGCAAAACCACCTTTACAGAGGTCACATGGGGTTTATATGTGTTTATTCGTTAATGTTGAATATTGTTACCTTAGTTCAAATACTCAAAGTGCTTGAATATTTGCATGGGCCTACATCTTCTTTTTTTATAATATGTGTGCCAGTACTAGTATTCTTATTTTTATTGGTTTTTACAAGTGGAGAAGGCACACATTTCTTTTTCTGGAAGCTGAGATGGCTACAGCCACAGTTTTTGAAGTGGACCCAAAGTTCATGACCTCGTTGAGTCCCGCCTTCTTTGGGTGACTGTACTGGTTGTATTCTTTCACCTCGACTTTCAATGGCATCAAGCAGGCAGTGCGCCTATACATGCATGACATTTGTGACGCAAGGGAACGGAGTGAGTGGGGATGCGTCCCACGTGAGCTCACTATGACATGATCAATTATGTAGCAATGTGCTGGGACTCAGTTAATTTTTTATCAGTATGAGGTACTCTATGAGAACTATTGGTGGAAGTTGGCAAATTTCAAGAAATTTAATGTGCCATGACAGCCACATTGAACTCATATATATGTCACATAAACCTAACGAAACTGAAATTATGGTGTGAAATCAAAAATGCAAGTTCTGCCTTCATTTTCACAATCAAAAAAGATGCTGTGAGCTCACTTACATCGCATGTTATGACATCAGATTAAAATACAACTCTTGGTTTTTTTTTTTCAGTTCTTGATGTAAAAGAAGGAAAAGTAAATGTCTTGAAGAAATCGGCCTAAAGGCTTTTTTTTTTTTTTTTTGCACTAAGCCATGTATTGACGTTTTGTCTCAAAGGGCCACTCACCAGGTTTGACAATTTTGAGCTGACAAGCGCAATGCCTGCTTTGGGCATTGACGATCTAGTCTGCCGAAATTCGGAACGCTCATCGCAGCAGAAATGGGTCAAAATTCAAGGTGAACGCTGCTTTCCCTTCATTTCTTGGGCACGCACCCAGAAAATAAGGGCGTAACATAGACGTAGGAATTGCCCTACGTAGATGGCAGGCCTGTGACGTCGATCCTCTACATAAACGACTGTGCTCTGACATGGCCAGCAGTAGCATGTGACATGGGGAAGATTATTTCACATGGCATGTGTAGTATGTGTAATTTGTTGCTTGAATAGATGAATAAAACTAGGTAAATGAGGAGGCACAAAAAGAGAATGGGCATGTCGTTTCTTTTTCTTCGTGAATTGCAACCAGATGAAGGGCTAATGTTTCTGCATTTTGCATGCATTTGTGCTCTCATGGTTAGTGCATTGAGCAGGTGACAGCCCTGGAAACAAAATTAATGGTCCTGCGCATTCGTGCACTCAAGATGTTCTTCTATTCTGGCTCGTCTAAACCCACGTCTCCAAACGAGCACACACCGAAGATCCACAGCAGAAACGGGCAGTAGACCACGATATAATGCCGGTCAAAAAACAACGCCGCTCGCATCCTCAAGGGGTTGGGCTTCCTCGGGGACGTCATGCACAAGTACAGTTTGCTCGGATGCCGGAGAGGATAGGGAAGAGATTTGGCTTGCGAAGGCTATGCGGAGCGAGCGGCAAGCGTTTCGAGCTTGCCTCCTCGCATCATTCAGCTCATAATGAACCAACTGAAAAAAGTTTTGTGGCATATTGCTCTTTATCGGACACGCAACATCTGCCACGGTCTAACTAAAATTTTTTATGGGGCCTGGTGAGTCACCTTTTAAGTGAATGGAAACGGCACGCTAATCGCTCAGTTGATTCGTTGCACCATTCTTGGGAAGCATGCACATGTACATTGGAGGAATGTAGAGGTCTTTGGCATTTCATCAATGATGGGTTACATTTTGAGAAAACATACTAGATTTAGTACACCCCGCATGTAGTAGTCTGACAACATAATGCTTAACAGCATGTTGCTGATGCAGTTAACCAGGTAGCTTTGCCAGATGGGGGCACAGCTAGCTGGTGAACCCCCAACTTGTGTTGGCATCCTCACCCCCCCCCCCCCCCCCCTTTTCATTGCCTGTTCACCTTCTATCACTGATTAGAACAAATGAGTGGGGGACAACTGTGAGCACAAATTATAGCAGTATTTATGCTGTGGTGGGGTACTTGTGGTGATAACTACTCAAGTCAGGACCCTTCCCCCCAACCTTCCTAAAATGAGTGACTGGATCTGCCTCTGAATTGTGCATTAATATATGCTAGGAACTGAAGGCTCCAGCAGTGACGGGGGAGGTCCTTGCCACCACTGAACCTGCAGAGGAGCAGAAGTCAACTGTGCCCCAGCAGACCACTGGTGGGCCTGACAGTTGCACACAGCCAGCCACACAAGGCCCTTCAGACCCAAGCACTGATGAGGGCCAGCCCAGTAAGCCAGCGCCACGTGTGATCTCTGAGGAAGAAGCACGGGCCCTGCTGGCTGAAAAGCGCCGCTTAGCACGAGAGCAGGCCGAAAGGGAGGCTGAACTGGAACGCCTGCGGCAGGAAGAGCTCAGGTGGGTCAGAGTGCATTAAAGGAAGAATCGACAACTGCTCGATCGGAGCACAAACTGCAAGGATATTCATCTGGATTTCATAGAAAGAAGGCTGTTTAGTTCACAAAAAGTCAGAGCTGTGCGAATAGCACAATTTCTGATGCAAAGCCAATTCGATTTTTAAAGTGTTAAGTGTGAAGAGAGACGGAGTTGAAAGAAGGGCAGAGGAAGAAAAAAAAACAGGAATAATCGACCGCAGCATGCTGTGAGGGCTCTTCGAGGTGATAAGCCTTTGCAGCAGCACCAGCGCAGCTACAGTATACTAGCGTGGCTCTGGCCACTTGGCAGTCGCGCGCACTTCAACATGGCATATGCAATCCTGAACTGCACTTAGTTTCTTGTCAGGAAAAAGAGCGTGGTCGAGCTTTCTACGGATATTGCGCTTGCTAACTTGTCCGTAACTTTAAAAGCTTTAAGGCTTTATGACATGAGCTTTTGCTTTTGCTGCCATTGCGCAGTCTTACGTAAGCGTGGTGGTCTTTCGATGTCCTTGAACTCCTGACTGCAAATGCAAACTTTGTATCACGTACGCTGTTCTTGGTTCAGTGCATGAGTGTGATCTTTTTGAAACCCAATCATCACGTCTTGGACAAACTTTTCATGATAACATGCCGTACGGCAGGCGAGGCCTAATCAGTGTTGGTTACGTTTCGGTAGTGGTCGTGTGCAACCCAAGTTGCAGTTTAAAATGGAATCAATGAAACTCATTTGCTGTGGCTGTACTCGAAGGGAAGGGATACATATCATTAATGAGCACTAGCATGGCACGTGTAGCATTTTACTAGTGGTTCACGATTCGATTGCAATGTCTTTAAAATTGGGTGCGTGCCCGTGAAATGTTACAACAGGTGTCATTCAAGGCGCAAAACTTTGAACGTGATTCGATGTAGTTTCTGTGAGGCCAATTTCCTCAATGGTGCTTTCTTTTGTTAGACCTTCCCTCCCCCCTCTTTCACGTTCATTTCGTTGGCAATGCGAGTCATCTTTATGCAATAAATTTTTGTAACATTCAGCAATGTTAATGGTAGTAAACATTATGCATCACATTTTTCAATTCTCGGACACGGAAGGCTGAATGCTCAACAAAATTTGGGCAACTGCAGCCCGTGAAAAAGGTTTTGGATTATAGTGCGGTACCACTTGTAGTACGGGAATTTGCAACTCTCGCAACCTGTTTTATTTATCTTATTTATTTATCAAATACTGCAGACACGCAGTCCAAGCAGGAAAGGCAATAAAGTGGTACAACAGTGACATGTTGAGGAAAAAATAAAAGAATAAAACAAGAACATTCACACAGACCTAATTTCAATATGTTTGGCAAAATGCTATCAAACAAATCAATAATAATAATAATCAGCATTATTATGTCAATTCAATTATACAATTCCATTCGGTTATTTTACTGTACGAAGGAAAAAAGAATTCTTAAATGTGTTTGTTCTCGCAAAGTAAAGTGTTAGTGCATTTTGTCTGCGTTGACGCGTGGTTCAAGTTAATAGGGGGTGATAGATAGAAAGATGAGTCTAGTTGTGAACTGTCCATGTAAAGTAGTTTAAGAAATTCCAGTCGCTGCTTCTGTATTCTCATCTCCAGTAGTTCAATATGGTTAGCTTTCATGAGTTCTGTGGGTGAATGTATTCTTGAGAATTTGCTAAATATAAATCTAACTGCTTTTCGCTGCACTCTCTTGAAGTTATTGATATAGAAAGCCAAAGCAACGCATGATGGTGCTGCTACTTTAAACAGGCAGCGCTATCTCTGGTAGAAAAGCAGAAATCGGGGATGTATATAGCGCGTTCTCCCTTCCTGCCTACGCGCTACCGCTTGCTTATGCGCTTATGCAGAGCGCACATTGCATTTGAGTCAGCTCGCAATGTACCGCTTGCAGTGCGTCTTCAAAGAGATTTCAGAGCTGGACAAGCTGGACAAGTAATAAAAAGGGTAAAGCTTGTTAGTCACATTTATGATGTGGAGCAGACGATAGAAGATGAGGACGCCCGACTCATATAAAAATGCATTTCTAAGGTCCGTGACAATACCGTGTACGACACATGCCTCGAGCTAAGTCTGATTCTGTTGACATGAAGCCGTGATTACTATCAATGTGCTCTGTTGATGTTTGTAAAAATCATAAAATAGTTATTCTGACGTGGTATCTAGCAGTTGTAGCCATTTACTATCAAATGCAAACGTTTGTGGCATGCTAAAAATAAATTAACCGTAAAGTTAAACGACTAGTCATAGCATTAAAATGTGTAAGAAATTTAACCCCCGTATTCATAAACACCCCTTGACTTCAACTTGACTTGAAAACACCTTCAATGCAGCATGTTTGAAACGCATCTGTGCATTTGTGCTGCATTGAAGTCTGTGGCAAGTCAAGCTCAAGTTAAGAGGCATTTCTGAATACGGGGGTTTGAGTCGTGCCCTGCGTGCTGTGGGAGCATGACCCGCTGACTTCTCCGCGAGGCAGCAAGCTGAGCTTTAATCAGTGTGAGTCAAGTTGAAGTGCTCGCCTTGTTTTTTCTGGCTCTCATGTCGTGCTTGCTCTATCTTTTGCAAATGAGGTTCGGCGTTCGGTTCCCTGGCAAGTCATGCCGGGAACTGATACAGCTTTTCAAGCGGAGGTGTTGTCTGCATTGCTGTGGCAGCCCATGACAAAACAATACTTCTGACCTTGCCGACGCTTCTGTGGGTCGCTTATGCCTTTGCCGAAAGGCAACTTTGCGCAGCGAGCTTCTCGTTTAAGCGCGCCAAACTGACGCCACGGCGCCAAAGTTTCTTGCATTGACTGCAGAACGCGTTCTGCGCATGCTTTCGCTTAGGTTAAATACACTGAATCGCATTGTCGCTGCTCCGCAAACTTGAGGTTTGGTTCCCTTTTAGATTAATATACGGCTCCCAAATGATACATGCAAATTCTAGTTCAGTTTTGGTTAAGGTGTTATGGCATAGCAGTTTTTCACTAGAAGGTGCTCTTTTAAGTTTGTGCCTCGGGAGGCATAATTTTCCATATGCTGATGTGCAAGTATTACTCATGTGGGCATTTCATGTTAATGTGTTGTTAAGGGTGGCTCCTAGATACTTGTAATTTGGTTACGTCATGCATGAGGGATGAATCTAGTTTATAAGTATAAAGCAAAGGTGATTTCTTCTGTATCATTCGCAAGTTTTAAACAGTCTGTATAGTAATTGTAATGTGAATAAAGAAAAGTGGACGAAAAGATAACTTGCCACTGGCAGGATCCGAACTTGTGACCTTCGAATAACCTGTCCGATGCTCAACCACTGAGTAATGGGGGCAATCATCCCCCTGTATTTCGAATGTGGAACACTCGCCGTGATGGCAGCGACATGTGGCGCTGACTGTTCATTTAAAATGCCCATTTATACCCCGTAAAATGGACGAGAGGATGACCGCCACCATCAGGCAGTCGTAGATCATTGGACGCGTTATTCGTAATGTGCAGGTTCGGATCCTGCCAGTGGCAAGTTATCTTTTCTTCCACTTTCCTTGGCATAATTGTCTGTTGTGTCTAATAAAGAAAACGGGTTTCTTTCCTTCCACTTCTTTCCTTCTTGCACGCAGTTGTCATTCGAGATTATTACGAGGTGCTGATTTTTTGTAACTCTCTCAGTTTAGGCAAGCTCTCGTTGCCAAAATGGTGCATGAAATCTCATGTGCTCATTGTTTGAACAGGCTATCACTGAGGATGGTGTCTGTGCAGGCGCCAGGAGGAAGAGCGTTTGCGACAGGAGGAGGAAGAACAGCGGCGTGCCGAGGAAGAGCAGCTCCGGCTGGCCGAAGAATTTCATCGTCAGGAGGAAGAGAAACTTCAGCGGGCCATTGAGGAGCAGCAGAAGCGCGAGGCCGAGGAGCGTGAGCGGCGTGAGCTCGAGGCCCAACAGAAGGCAGAACGCGAGGAACAGGAGCGCAAGGCTCGCGAGGAGGCCGAGAGGCAGCGCAAGGAGCTCGAAGAGAGGCTCAAGCGGGAAGAGGCCGAGCGGGCCGAGAGGAAAAAGGTGTGCTTGCACTCTGAAGGAGAGTATTTGACACGGCCAGTGTTTTACGAAAGAAGTTCCTATCTGTATGCACTCACTAGCCATCTTCTTTCTCAATACAGTCAAATCTCATTGAAATGTAGTTGGCTGGGAACGACGTTTTGTACACACTAAGCGATGTATAATTAACCGTCGGTGCCCGTTTAGTGGCAACTTACCGGTCAGAAAAAAACGCCGCGATCCTCACAAGCACGCGTGCACACACACGCAGGCACGCAAGCTTTATTTAAGGACAGGCAGCAAAAAAGTTCGTGATCTTCACTTGCCGCCGTGGTGGCCTTGCCATGACAATGGCATCTTCGAAATTGGTGAGGCCGCAAGCCAGCCGGTCCATTAGGACCGCGATGCGGCCCTATTTCCGCCTGTTTCGGCACATGCGATGACTTTTCTTTTAAAAGCGGCATCGTGGTGCACTCGTCGAGTTTCTGGAGCCTGCCCTTCCATGCCGTCAATGCTAATGAACTACAAGATGACGAACTCCTCAGAACACGTACGAAGTGCCGCACATGGGAAACACATAGGCAGAAATGGCCGGCGCGCCATGCCGAAGCACGTAGGGGGCGGCCATTTTGGAAATGCCGATGGCAATAGAATGACTGTATTCATTTTTTTTTTCGCACTCGATTTTAACGCGCATGCGATTTATGAAGTCGCTTAACCGGAAAAAAAATGCGCGTTAGATTCGAGTAATTACGGTATGCATCGCATAGAAGCGCACTGGTAAATTAGGAAAATTTCCCATTTTACGCAGTTCAGTCACCAGTGCACAGACTAGTCAGTCAACATATTCACTTAGCTTACAGTAGGCTTTTGATAATGCAGTCTTGAAGTGATTGCAGGATTTTTAAAATTATCAATGCAAGCGACTCTCATTAACTCTTTTGTTACCACGCGAAAATGCTTGTTTTTTATATGTCATGAGAAGATCATTTTTGCCAGTTGGAAACATACTCCAGCACGCATTGCAGCATTCCAAACTTTGCACAAGGAAATGCTTTCTAAAAAATGTATGTTGTAGAGCAACAAAAATATTTTAGAATGAATAAAAAAGTGTAGAATTTTTGGTCACAAACTGGTAAACAGTGCAATAAAAAAACACTATATGTTCAAAAATATTCAAAACAAAAAAATTCAGAATATACATTTGGTAGATAAATGATTCAGGAATGGCATAAAAAATGATGAATGTTGTACAAAAATGTTTCTCTTCACATAGACAAAGAAAATCAGAGCCGCGGTGCTGCTTCGTTGCTCGTGCCATGCGGTGAAGCATGGCCTGGTTTTTTTTTTTGTAAGACACAAGTGTACTTGTACACTTTTTCTCAGTAAACTTTTGTTGTGCTGCAATAAGAGCCTCCTGGTGTTCCAATAGGGGTAGATGGATACCCGTTATGTGAATAATTTTTCTATAATTATAAAGATATCCAATGAACTTCGCTATTTCATCTAGCGTCACCTCTTTCCATGAGCCACCTTACGCCACATAGGTTGGTGTTCCAATATATGCATCCAAGCATATTTTTTGGTATATTTGTGCATATCGTATTAAAAGAAGGACAATATCGCGAGCAGTTCCAAAAAGTTTCGGACTGCTTGGTAGTCAGGGCCAAGATGTGCTCCAAGGGCCTTCTTGTTGTTAGGAGAAGCTCTGCAGCCAGCGCCAGCACACTGCGCCCCAGCGAAGTGTAGACCATGCACGTAACCAGAGTAGCTTTAGGATTGTGAGCAAAGGTCAGGTGCTATTCGCGCTTACGGTGAAGTAAACAACTTGATGTAAAAAAAACAAACCCATGAACGGCTGTGGATGTATCAGGCCGACGCGAAACATTGTCGCCATAAAATTTGAAGCTAAGGGACTGTCATCCTCTAATGCTAAGCTCGTCGTCACTCGATTAAGGTGGGGTTGCAAGACAATTTCGAGCAGCGCATGTGTTTTTCAGCGCTGATGCGCACCCATGCGTACGTGACGACGACATCATAGGAGCGACTAGTGACACTAGATGCGACCCTATGTCTAATATAATGATGCAAGCAAAACCAAAGCTGATGGAAAGGGTCATGAAAGTCACTTCACCACTTTAAACATGCGGCAGACCTTTGCAAATATTTTTTGTAGAAAGAATTTTTCCTGACTCCTAGGATCCTAGGAACAGCTTTCTATTGAATATATGGCATAAATTTCTGGCTATCGTTACTGCTCAACATAGCCAAGTTGCGAAGCTTACACTTTAAGGGAAGACGCTCCTCGAGAAAACTTTTTTTTATTTATAGTCATAGACACTTGAAAATTTTGTTATTAATATAGTTTTTCATGAAGATTTCGAAAATGCAATCATTTTTTGTGTAGCTGCTATAGTTATTGAGTTATGCCATGCACAATAGCAAAATGTTACATGTTTTGTGAGTACTCTTATGTACTTAACTTTCTGTATTAGAATTGTGTCTGTTCCTATTTGATTCTTGGTAGATTGTGAAGTGCAAATATCTATCCAGATATGTCACAGAAACATTGGAACCAAGAAAAAAAATCGTATGAATGACTTTATTTTCAATCTCACTTGAAACAATAACCTAATATTTTCACAGCTAATTCTGGTAGGAATTGCAATTTTAAGTAGATATTTGCATTCTGCATGTGTTGAAGAATATGCGTGCCAAGTTTCGTTACTTTACAATCAGCTAAATTGTCTAAAAGGCTGCCCGGAAAACATGAAATTGTCAAAAAAAAATGAAATTGAGAAAAACAAGTTTGAAAGTTTAGAAAGTTGGCATTTATTAGGAAACCATTTTTTTGCAATAAATTGGGGCACAATGAAAAGCAGCTTGCACTGAATGCTCGGAAGACCGAGAATCGCACAGCATTGTGAAAGTTGGTCATGGCCTGCGCCTATAGCGCGTGCTGCCAGAACTGCCTTCACGTTTACAGCAAAGCTATCACGCGAGCTGCCGCTGTCGAAACGAGCGCTCGTCCCTTGGCCCCTGGCCGAACTAGTACGTCTCGACTCGTGCGTGAATGAAAGTGTAGATTCAGGACAATCGGTATTTTCACAGCACAGTTCGAGAAATGTCAAAAGTCCTTTGCGCTTTCCAGCTACCTCTCAGACACCGAGTTTCCATTCGCGGCAGATTGGGCATTGCGCACCAGCGACAAGGGCAGTCAGTGCATCGATTTCGCAAAGCAGCGTGTTGGCTGTAGCAGCACCTACTGGTCTACGTTCACTCTTGGAGAATCTGTTCTTCGTTTGGGATGCACTGACGGATTCCACGGCAGCGGCTATTTCACAATCACTGTCGCCACGGGGTTCGGTGTCAGTGTTAGGCATATCCGAATTCGGAGCGTCGGGGCGTTTGTCGGCGGTGACATCGACGTTGGCTGTCGCTTTGGGAAGCGTTCGACGTCGTTTCCCACGATACCTGGGGCGAGTTCCGAACTTCAGATTATCTAGACTGCGCTTCTTGAAGCTTGCCATGACACAAAACTGCAGAGAAACGCCGAACAACTTCATTGTGATGTCCAAGGTTTCGCTCTTCTGCCGGAAAGATAGGAGGGGGAAGATGCAGAACGCACCGCCGACCAATGGCGGAATCTCGCTGCTTGCCGCGATATTCAAAACATGTGGCGTATGCATTGTTTTTCTTGTTTTTTTGTTTATTCTTTGTGAAGATACATTTCTCATGTCATCGCTCCTTGCTTGGAAGCATTTTTAGATCATTTCTCGTGCGAATTTCAGCTTGATATTTTCAGAAGCGGAAGATTATAGTCCAAGGATGCCAACACAACCGGAAAAAAAATAAAACTGCGAAAATTTTCCGGAAAACCGCGACTTTTCGACCCATGTCTTCCTTTAAATCAATATTAGGCTTGCAAAGGTTTCTTTTTTTTTTCTTTCAATGCAGAACTTCGATCTTACTGTAGCATAATCACAAGGGGCACACACTTCTGTCAAATTCGCCAGCCTAGTGCACTTTTCCAACAATACACGCACATTAGTTCGCGCAAAGGTCTGTCAAAAATCACTATGTGGCAAAAATGGGCAAATTCAAATTGATTCTGAAAGTTGAGTGGCTGGACTAACTACTAGAAAGTGCTGGGTGCACGAGAAACAAATTTAACATGCCAAAATCGATGATCGAAAAGCGTCGATCATCGATGATCGATTTGGATAGGCGTGGTAACAAAAGAGTACGAGGGGGACACCCCACTTATAAACACATTATTATTTTAGGTAAATATTGATCAAACTTGCATCCTCTATGTATTTTGACATGCTGATTTCAAATATTCAATTATTTTTTCTATGCAACAAGTACTTTTCAAAATATTGAGAAATTCATGTTTTTTGCATTGACTAATTTGGAGGTGAATATATAAAAGAATCTGAACCACGCAAGTATTTCATGTACAGCAATCTAAAGCAATGCAGTTGTTCATGGCTAGATGTTGTGATGCGAATTCACATATTTATGTCAACGATCACCGTTGGACAATCACTGTCAGACGGCACTTTGAAGGGAGGCACACGCTTCTGAAGTTCAAAGCCAGAATGCAATTTGGTACAAACGCATTGTAGCCATTTCGAGAACCTTTCAGCAAGATGTCGTCACATTCGTCGATAGAATAGCATTAAATCATACACGAACAAAAAAGCTGGCTTCAAAACAGCGTGGTCACACATGCCAGCGAACAAACCCAGAATCAGCAGCATGCGCGTTTCTGCCGAGCGTGTTGCCGAGACCGAGACGGTTGACCGCGCTTGTTGTGGCGCCACCAAGAAGGCACTGATGAAGCTGCAAGGTGACTGATAATGGCCCGAACATTATCTGAATGCACTGGGATTGCGATTTTCCACGTGTTGCGGGGACAGTCTCAGCACCTGTATATTTTTACACTGTTTTACTGCCATAACTTCTTGCGCCATGATGGTTTGCTGCATCGCTGCACTTATTGATGCCACAGTGTGCTGTAAAATGTTTTCAGTCTTTTCAAGAAGTGTGGAGATTGGCTGATCGATGATTTTGAACTTTATGCGATTGCGGCGATGCCTTTACTGGTAAACGTTAAGGGGAGATGTGAGTTGAAAAACGCAATCACGTATATTTCGTTTTCATTTGCTTGCACAAGTTTAGTTTCCCTACTTTCACAGTAAAAAAAAACTGAAGATTGTAATCAAACTTGAAATAGGTTAAAATCGTTTTTGAAGAACACAAGGTGGCTACTAAAAACTAAAAAGTCCCCTGGCAATATTAACCTGGCCGCTCGCTATTGTATTTCGCAATTAGTATCTAACTACAGCCACACGCTCAAAATAAGCACGACTGCCAAGCTCTTATGATGGAAGAAACCATATCAAAAAACATTTTTTCCGCACAAATGAGCTTAAAAATGCGTTTTTCTCTAGATCCATCTTGGGGCAACTTCTTGAGTTCAGACTTAATGTTTTTGGTACTTATGATTGCCAGATCAGGATGAAATCTCGCTAACATATTTCTTAAGTGGGACCATGGTAATGAAAACTATTTTGTTGTTTATAGAGACAAAGTGATAAAATTTGGCATGCATATGTCATTTGTTGTGCCAATATAAATGAAATCGGTTCTGAGCTATCTAGTGAAGCTGTACCTGATAGACTCTCATCGTCATCCCAAAAATAATTATTTAATCAGTCATAAGTCTGTCAAAATTTTTTCATCAGGATATTCAGAAGAGCCGATGCTGTGTATATAAGAAAAATTGAAATGCCCTGGGCATATTTTTCTACTAACAACTTTTACAAAAAGCCATTTATAAAAAAATCTGTATGGTGAGCACACAGATATGGACAGCTTTACGGCACTCCCCGATGTCGCTGGATTTAATTGCAGAAAACCGAATGGCTGTATTTTCATTTGTTGCAAAATGGCACAGGGGTGACTGTCAGCAACTGCTAAAAAAATGAAAGCTGAGAAAATGGAGCTAGAGGCTAAAAGAATAGAACTCCATAGGGAGCTGGCTTTATTTTTTATTGAATAAATGCAGCTTTGTGGCGACCTTGAGCTCTGATCTGTCCTCTACGATGATGCCACTATGGTGGCACTGTGCCACCAACAGCCCCACAGCAAAATTCTCTCTTTCTCAACCTCTGCTACGTATTTCGGCCTATATTTTACTATGATCTGACATATGGTCTCGAGATTGCAGAAATAAATAATTGAAAAATTGAACATTTTGACTAAATTTACCCTTCCTATTGCCGCATCTCCCCTTAAAGTTTGTATTTCACTTGTGCACGCAGAGGGTGGAAGAGATAATGAGCCGGACACGAAGGAGAGGTGCCAAGGACAACCCAGCCGGCAAGCTGGCTGGAAGTGATGCACAGGCATCACCTGAGCGGGAGAGCTCTCCGTCTGTGTCCGGCCGGTCTTCGCCTCAGCTTTCGCAAGACAAGTTGTGCGACGACAAGAGCCCGGTGACGCAGCCACAGCACAAGCTAGAAGCAGGGCCGCAAGCGCTAGAGTCGGAAGCAGCCACAAAAGAGCCCGAAGATAGGGGGGAGCAGCAGGGGATGTCTCTAGGAAATGTAGCAATGCTGGCGGCTGGCTCGCCGGACTGTGTGAATGGTAGGGAAACAATTGTGAAGAGTGTTGATAGTTCGGTGGACTGCAGCGGCGACGCTCAGGGCGATAGCAGAGTGGTGGAGGAGCCCATGGACCAATCTCCTCCTCACGGCAAGTTTTTCTCCCCTCCCTCTGCGGCGAGCGAAGGGACAACAGTGCCACAGCCGCCACCATGCACCAATGGCTACGGCTCGCACCACACCAACGGTGGAGGAGGTGACGGCATCATCAATGGCGTTGGGTGAGCCTCTCCTTGCTTTTTTGCGTTTCATTGCCCCTGAACTCTTCAAGCAGCGGTTGAGTTGAGGGTTTTATGTTGAGCCAGGTGGCAGAAGTAAACACAAATTTAAGTCCATACCGGAACTATGATTTTGGTCAGTAATGATCTCAATATCAAGCATATTCTTCAGATGTCTCTTAGCTGAAGCTGAATCGAATTATTTTACTTACCAGCTTGGTTCTTCGCCACTTAGGCAAGTCGATAGCTATAAATACTTAGGTGTTACAATAACAACTACCTTATCCTGGAATAAACATATATATATTATTTCCTCCTCTGCATTCAGAAAACTTTGCTTTGTAAAACATAAGCTTCATAATGCCCCAAGCAATGTTAAATTACTGGCCTATTATTCTTTAATAAGACCTAAATTAGAATACGAAAGTGCAGTATGGGACCCATGCACTCAAACTAACATCAAGTGCCCGGAAAGAATACAAAGGAAAGCCGTCCGGTTCATTTTTAACAAGTCCTCACGAGTCGACTCTCCTTCTGAAATAATGAAGGCCAATGACATTTCCCTTCTTAGCACACGTCGAAAACACGTAAGAATTGACCTTCTTTCTCTTCTTCTGAACCACAAACTTGCGATTGACCCATCGCCGTACCTGAGATCGTTATCAACCAGACCCACAAGGCATCATCACGCCAAATCTCTAACACCCTATTTCTGCAGGACAGACGCTTATAAGTTCTCATATTTTCCACGAACAGTCTCAGATTGGAACGGAACAACTCGGGCATCCTCAAAGAATCTATTTCTCTTTCGCTCTAAATAGAATTGTCCTGAAAATTCAGGTTTCCGATCTTTTATTACTAGCATTTTTTTTTTTTCGTTTTCTTTTTCACCTTGTATGTGCTGTACATATTGTATACTTATGTATTCATTACTTTCTTGGCTTGAACAGTGAAAATAATTGTGTTTATTTTTTTGTATTTATTAAGTATTTATTTTTACTTTATTCGCACGACATATGAAGTATGAATTTGTGGTGTTTTTTTTTTTTTCTCTTTTGTCCGGTACATGTATCATTATGAAATAATTTGCTATGTCGCTCCTTGTGTTCACTATGAGTGAAACACTCACCCCAAATAATCTTTATGCCACTTATTGTTTCGACTATGTCCCCTTGTAACTGCCCACCTGCCTGGACCGAAAGGTCTGCAGTATGTAATAAATAAAAAAATATAAATAAAGGCATCTGAAATATGGGTACGGAATGAAGTGGTTTGTCGTATAAGTGGCAAGAGTCGTTGCAGTCTCTAGGGAGAGTGAGCCAATGGTGACCCTGTCTTACTATTTCGCACGTTTCCTTGAGCCATTTTCTTTTTTAGAAACTAGGCTTAACAGGCTTGTCTGAGCGAGCTGCTGCTGAATAACAAAACATTGTATGTGATGCTGTGTTGTCACCCTGAATTGACACAAAAGAGTCAAATTTCACCTTTCTCTCTGTCTCTCTTATTTTTATAAGGGGTGAGGCACTTTGTGGCCAAGGCTTGTCAAGTCTCTGCATGTCAAGGCTACATTATATGGCAACGTTTGAGCAACGTACTGTAATGTGAGACACAAAAACAGGTTTAACCTCGTTGATACGTTTAAAAAAAAAATAAAAGGAAGATGAACACATGATCAAGGAAAACGTACAATCCAAATTCAGCTAAAATTGAGGCTGACAAGTCTAAATAGAAATGTAAAAACAAACATTCAATTCTCTAAAACGTAACTTTCTTCCGCTGCCTTTCACCCTTGGAAATGAAAAGCTCCTTCTGCACCCTTATTCCTTATCCACTTTTTCATTGTTTTTCACACAAAATAAGCTTTGTAAAGCTTCCAGTCCAGCTAGGACTTTGGCGAAGTGAGCCGGTCACCGCACACTTTAGTTCTCGCCACTATCTTCTGGTGCCTCGTCCCCCGCCTCCTTCGTAGCGTTGCCCCACACCACCTTCGCAACGATTTCGGCGAGATTTTGCGGCTCTCAAGTCGAAACATTGTCGTCTGTCGAGACTAACTCGGCAAATGGTACATCGGTGCCAGTGGAGAGGAACTCCTCATCGATGTTTTCGTCGATGTCAGATGTGCACGCCCAGGGTTGTTTTCGCTGCGTTCGGTATCCTCTGATGCTAGCTGCCGTCGAAAACCGCACTTCTTGAAGCAGCTGCTAACCTTTTCACTTGTCACACTGTCCCAATAAAAGCTCGAGTAGTGTATCTAGAAGCGACAAGTTGCTGGCGTGGTTCTCAGGGTCATCGCCACGTGACATGCGAGCAATTAAGCGCCAATCCAGTCCAAGCCAAAGTGGCAAGTGCGCGTTGCGACGTGTTAGTACGTTGTGTCCGTACTTTTTTTGCACTAAACAATGGTAACAGGGCCGCCGGTAGGCATTTTGGAGTCGACGAGTTATGTGTTCGCTACTGGAGACGGCAGCATGGACAGCTGAAAGCCGCCAAGACTTGCTGGGCCTTTCGTTTGCCTTGAATGGTGCAAGTTTATTTTGACAGAAAGTGGCTGCGGACGATTCTGTGTTAGATGGCCATCAGCCCAAGGTTGACATTGTACGCTAATGCTATGCCTGCAAGCTTTGTGTACGGTATTAGAAAATTTTTGTGCCGAAAATAAATCCTGTCTTGTGTTGAACCTGTGTTTTTATTGTTTAGTCTTGATTAGTACTTCTTAAAGCATTTGGTTAGTTAACAGTGTGGGAATCCCGATTTGCGGCCACTTCGTTTATTTTTTCTTCCGTTCTGTTTGTTTTTCTACCGTCTAATTTTCGTCGGTCTTCCATGAAAAAAAAGTGTGAGGAATATGCAAATAAATACAGGGTCCCCAAATTTATTGCCTAGGTGCCAGCTGAGAAAGAAAACCACTGTGTTGCAGAAAATAACAGGCATTTTTTTAAAACCGTTTGAGGACTTAGACAGCTCTGACAGGTTTGTGTGTATGTGTGCAAAAAAATCGTCATTGCCCCGCCGCGTCAGTCGGTCACTTGACCTTTCACAAGCACGCGAGAGCGGTATTTTTCACACCTGAAGGAGAAGTTTTGCCCACGGAAAGTATCGTACCACCACAGGTTGCCGCAATGCCGAAAATTGCTGCCGAATAATCGTATTTTTGGAGAAGGTATTAAGCAGAATGTATTAACACATAGCTCTATAAGGCATTTCTAGTTTTCGCGATTTCAAGTGTGGGAGCCGGGAAATCATGTTAAGTGGAAACGTATCAACGAGCTTCGATTGTGACGGAGCACAATCGCGTGCGAGCAAAACACCTGCAAGCAAAACACTTTATACTTCAACGCAGACATTATGGACCTAGCATTGTCGTCGACTCTTTATATCGCTCATTTTATTAAATTGAATGCGGCAATGCTTGGGTAGCTTACGGTATAGTCTAAACATATGTGACACTATACTCCGTTTGCTTCGCTCACTTGTCATGATTCACTTAGTGGAGATGCATAGGTTTTTAATGGCAACGCATTTCTTAGTCAAAATATGTCGGGCATCCAGCATTCTCCGCACGCCGACAGGTGTGTGGACAGCTTCGCTCTCACTCCCTCTCCCAAAGCAACAGCTGCGGGTGCGCATGCTTATCCTCGCCCCTAGCAACCAGAGAGAGTAGGAGAGGGTAGGTGCAGGTGCTTCGCCGCTCGCTCTCCTCCCTGCGCCTCACTCTCCCCTCATCTCGCTGGGTGGTCTAGTGGCTAAGGTACTCAACTGCTGACCCACAGGTCGCGGGATCGAATCCCGGCTGCGGCGGCTGCATTTTCAATGGAGGTGAAAATACGGTAGGCTCTTGTGTTCATATTTGCGTGCACGTTTCAGGTTAAACCCCACACATCAGTCAATCAATTGATCACTTTTTGTTTTCTTTTGTTGTTTTACTTCAACAAAATTCCACAATGCAATTCCAGGCTTCCATATTTAATGCCATGCCGTGAACACATTCTTAAACATTTTGATGCATTTTCAGAACATAAAAATACGTCTAAAAAGTCTAAAACTTGCGTTGGCACCACCACAAACCACTGCTTTTTACTAAGCGTTGAGGCTGCCATTGCTCTATTATGGTAGCGCTGAGACTGCCCTGCTATTGCAACTGGCTTGCTTCTGAGCCACGCCCTGCTGCGGTGGTCTAGTGGCTAAGGTGCATGGCTTCTGACCTGCAGGTCACGGGATCAATACCCGGCTGAGGCAGCTGCATTTTCTAAAATGCTGTAGGCCCATGTGTTCAGATTTCGGTGCTGTTAAAGAACACCAAGTGGTCGAAATTTCCGGCGCCTTCCACTACGGTGTCTCTCATAATCATATGGTGGTTTTGGGACGTTGAACCCCACATATCAATGCTTCTGAGCAACTGACAGTCTGAAGCTAAAGCTCAGTCACTCAGTTTATTGAGTTTCCTACTGTCTGCTGCTGGGCACATTCGTGGAATTATGGCTTTAGTGACGCCAATACTTTTGGTTGTTTTTGTGCTTGGCCAGTGTGGTCACTGGTCATAGTGACTTCATCCACATTATCAACAAGATCAGCCAGCCGTGACTACTGGACAATAATAATAGCATAGAATAAGGCATAAGTTGCTGCTGCACGATACCACGCCTCCATCTTGGCATTGCCTAATGTCTTTCGACGGCGAACAGCTAGTGTTAGCGTGTTAGTGCAGCTGTTAGGTTCACTCACAAAAGTCGTAGTGGTCATTGTTCCAGCATGCTGTTCAGCATGGCATCGCTATGCATGTGTGAGAATTGTACCATGATATATGAGGCTGGGAAAGCAGCAGACACTTTAATTTTGGGAGTAAAAGTTTCTTTTGCTAGCTCAGGTCACCTTTTTTTTTTTTTTTTCAGTTTCACTTGAATGAAATTTTCACTTCAACGAACTTTTTTACACATCCTGTCTCTTTCGTTGTAGTGGAGTTTGACTGTACGATATTTGAAAAAGAAGTTCTCAAAGGGGCACATTTGGGGAGAGTGTCCCCCCAGCTTAAGCACAATAGAGGTCCGGACACCCCCGGCTCCCCTATGATCTACGCCACTGGTTCAACACACTCACACGTATATTTAATTTGGGATAAGTCTGGGTGGCTCATTTGTATTGATTGTTTAGTAAAAATCATTGAACTTTTGCGCACACCTGAAGTAAAACATGTCAATTAGTGATGATTTTTGACCCCACGATGTGCTCCAAAACTAACTTGCATTGCTCCAAAATGCGCCTTTGGTGCCCTGAATCTGCTTCGAAACTCCCTTTTGCCACTCTAAAGCTGTTTCAAAACACCATTATTCCAGTTCTTCGAGCTCATTTGAAAAACTGAATTTCACTTACAACCCTGGAAAAAGAGGCTGTAGATAATGTCTACGAAAGTCTATCAAAAGTTATACCTATTAAAAAAGCTGCAACATGCATCTCATGATAAACATATTGCAAACATCACGTTCGTTATGTTGGTGCTAGCATATTCAGCCATTTTTCGGATTTCCTATCAAGTGGCTCTTCAAGAAGCTGGAAAGGTTTTGGAGGCTGGTGACACGTCTAATTGGAGGCTGGTGACACGTCTAACTAACCACAGTCATGTGATATAATTGTGTCGTACTAATGCTGATGCATTATGATGTTTGTTCTTCTCAGATCCAATAGAAATGTGGAACAAACTGCCTAACACTATTGTTCTAAACGATGTCGCTGACTTAGGAAATGCAGTTCAGGCATATTTACAAGAGCTTATAACTTCAGTTTTTCAGTGCCAACTGATAAAAGTGCCTTCATTTTCATACATATTTTGGAAAATGTCAGTGACTTGTTCTGAACAGCATTTAAGTAAATATTGTATTTACTTGCGTAAATCATTGCACTTTTTTCTTTTTTTAAGAAAAACCAATGAAAAGGAAAAATTTTTTGCAAAAAAGAAAACAAAGCAGCCACAAATCGGGATTCTCAAGTCAGCAACCAACTACAGTCGAACCCCTTTTTAAGAGACACTGATGAAAGATACAAATGAATATAGGAGTGTGCCAATAGTAATATACGAGTATATAGGAAGATGCATGTGAGGTACCGTGCTTATAAGAGACATGTCATATAAAAAACAAGAAGTGCTGCCCGGAGCATGCCTCTTATAAATAGGTTTAAATGTACAAGGTTTGAGATGCACGAATTAAGACTTATTTTGAAGGGGTATTGACACAATATTTTGTAGCAGGATAGCCTGTTAAATCGATTCCCGTGAGCATGCATGTATCTATGAAATATCAACAGCAAATATAGCTTGGAAGGTATTTTACTGCAATTTTGAAGTTCGGATCAAAAGCGACCTTATGGGACGAACACACACGCAGGCACGCGCACACACGCACGCACACGTATGTACACACACGCACACTCATACACACACACACACACCCTTACTTCCTTGACGTCATAGCGCTTGTTTTCTTTTGTCGCATTTGTTCCAGTATTCTATACTCCTTGGCTGCTGGTCGTTACTGTGTGCCTGCTGTACACACATTGCCAGTTTTTGTGTTGGGGCACACTGCGATCCGGTTTTCTATACGAAAGGACTTCGTAATGCAGATGTGCGTCATAGTTCTGTGTGCTGACGTGGCTGAGAACTGTACGCGTTAGATGGCGGCAGTTGCACACAGCGGCTTGTCATTTTTGGAGCTCTCTCAAACCGAAACTGAAACGGGTTTGTAATGAGAAGCATGTTAATAATTTTCTGTTGGGTGCTGCAGCAAACGACGTGCCTTGTTATGACTAACAGGCCCCTAGCAGCACATTGCAGCAAAGAAATGCAAGGCCCCAAAGCTTTTGTGGCAGTACTCCTTTAACAACAGAACCACAGGTTCAACACAAAGCAGGATTTATTTGCAGGCACTGAAGCCACTAGGAAATAGTGTCTCAAGGGTCTTAGTGCGGGGACTCTTGTGGTAATCAAGAAGGGCCGCTTCAACTTGTGGATATTTCACAGTCTTAGGCCCACGGAAGGCCTGGTGCATCTTGTTGGTAGGTTTCAGCTGCTTGTGCTGCTGTCGCCAGTAGCGAACACAAAACTCGTTGACCACGAAGTGCCTGCCGGCAGCCCTGTTGCCATTGTTTATGGCATCTTCGGTTGTGGTGCACTGGCACCGTAGTGGTGGCAGGAAAGTTGCATCAAACACCGCCCGAGTTTTATGCCCCGCTACGGGCCAGACAGACATGTGAACCACAAGACTCGAATCTACGACAGCAGCTACGTCAGTAAGAGATGCCATTCAGCAGATAACAGTTTCCTGCGTCCTATTTGTACTAGTAATAAGATAGCAAATGACTGAAAACCAAACAATGAGAGACACTCTCCAGATGCTATTTGTCCATGGGTGCGCGTCTGTTCTCCAGATGGTTGTGCTGCGTCAGTTTTGTACCAACTCGACTAGGGTTACGGTAATTTTCACATCACCTTCGGTGTCCAGTGAAATTCCGGCTGCTTAAGTAGCCTTGTGCGAGTATGGTCGGACGATGTAAGGTTACGCATGTTTATCCGTCCGGCCCCGCCATGTTCTGCGGCAGCACCAGTTGTGAATTACGCCTAAAATAATAAAACAATACTGCCTTGTATGCTGGTGCTCGCGGGCTGATGGGATTGCACCAGCTTTACCGTCGGCCTTCGCGGTGGCGTGCACTTGTTTTGTGGCCGGCCCAGTCGAACATATGGCACCGCACGCGTGGTGCTCAGATGACGTACAAAGAAAGCGCCACCGGTGCCGCCAGCCGTAGATGTCATTAGTGTGTTACCTTGAAAGCAGCTGTGTAGTTTTAGTATCGACACATAGTGTAACCACAAAATGGACACGACATACACTTCTACACTAAAGCTGCACGGACAAGCAATTCTAGCACTGGCATGCTGCAACGCATATTTCCGACTTTCGTTCGCCTTGGTTTGTTTGGGGGCTTCATGCGTAGATCGTGTGCATAATACTTGAGATGGTACCAGGCTGTCGTGCGCTGTCATCATCAGTGTTTGGAAAAAGCAGACAAGATTACTGCTACAATTTTCGGGGGTGCATTAATTACTCCAGGAAAAAAAAAAAGCTAAGCATGTTTTTGTTGGCCCAATGCGGAGGATGCGGGAATTATGCGAGTGCAAGAATGACGCAAATAAATATGGTATATGATTTTATTGTGGAGTGTCAATTATATTGTTCGATTTCGTACAGTTTACTCTTTTTTATATGTGTAATTGTCTATCCTCTCTATTATGACCCTCTACAATGGTTAATAAATAAATAAATGAATAATGCATAAATAATCTTAGCTGCTCCATTTCTATGCCTGCAGCGTGTGCTGGATAAACATATTACGCTTGTTATTCTGAAATTGGGCTGGGTCCAGTAGTATGTATGCCGCAAGTGAATCATGTCAATAAGCGGGTGGTGTACTTGGCAGGTCTGAGAAAGTTGCCGACTTGCTGGGTCTGGACTCTCTGGGACCCCTGAAACCTGAAGTCTTGAACACTGGAAGCCAGGACGAGGAGAATCTGCGCAACTCGGGTGACATCAACTCCAATCGTATTGTGCCCACCGGGAACCCACTAATTGGCTTTGAAGAAGACAACCGGAATAGCAGCAGTAAAGGCCAAGATATGCAGTTCACCGGTAAGGGCCATGAGGAATACTGCTTCCTCGTAGGCACGATGAGCAAAGTGGATGAAGCAAGGGAGGCTCGTTTTGTTTGTTGTGTGATGAAACTAGCAGACAATAATAAAGCCCAGGTCCTAGTTTTAATGTTTTAATGTGGCAGTTAGGAGCTAAATCTAAAGAAATTAAAAAACACAACTTGCCGCTAGTCTGGTGTTCTATCGATTGAGCTAATACAATGGCTGACCTCCTGCCCACTTTATTGGCTATTTTTTTCAGTTCATGTAAAACTGGTACTGTTAGCCAGCACCGCAGTAGTCTTGTCATGGCTTGGGGGGGGGGGGGGGGGGTCTACTCATTATTGGATTGAGCTATTTATTTTCTTGTGCTACCCTGTTTTTTGGACATTTTTATTGCACCTGTGTAATGCAAATATTTGTCAGTTATTGTATTTCGCACAAAATGTCGAATTTCGGTGCAGCAACATTTTCATGTGTTTAGGTAAACTGCTGATTTTACCACCAGCTGCATTGAGGTTTAGCTTACCAATTTTTCACCAATTTTGTGCCACGAGATCACAGCATCATGACTGGCTGTCGAATAATCTACTGGCGACTTGTGCACTAAAGACTTGTAGTCTTGAAGAGGAGAACAGTGTTCATAAATAAAGAATCTTCTTTGTTGTTGTCGATACATATTGAATTTTGCTGAGTTATAAAAAAAAAAACACGACAGGAATGCATTTTCTCAACCCATTTGAATGAATTTTTCAGTATTTTGAACACTTATGGCTGAAGTATACTTATTTGTGAATGTTCAATGTACCAAAACATTTATTCAAGTGGGTTGAGATCATCCATCTTTGCCTTCTTTCATGCAGTTCTCATCATTGTGTGATTCTAATTCACTTGGTAATTCTTAGATTAGTCAAAATCTTCCTCTGAAAGGAACAAAATGAAATTCTTGATATCTTAACAACTAAACAACTATACATATTGTTCAAGAAAAATAATTGCATATTGGAAATCTGCTCATGCATAAAAAATCATGGTCTTTTAAAAAGTAAGTCAAAGTATGCTGGCCCTGAATATAATAACCAGTGTGTGGTCACAGTTCTTTTCCCTCCCTTTTCTGTTCTGCAGATTTGCTCTCGTAATTGACCAGAGCTGCAGACTTCCTGAGGCAGTTGATCCCACCCCAAGCCTCCGTGTTGAGAACGAAGGAGCCCCAACGACACTAAGAGGTCGGACACTCTCATTAGAGCTGGCTTTCGTAGGTAAACTTGTCGCCACGCCGCTCCTGCAAAAGCTAGCGTTTTTAAAAAGAAAGCTGCATATTTTAAAAGATGGCTTTTTTGTTCTTGTTTTTTTTTTTCAATCAAGCTGGGTGGGGTTTGTGGAATTTTCTAGGTTTTCAAATTATTTATCATGCAGCATGTGCATCCCAGGGTGAAGAGACTGTGGGACTTTTGTTGACGTTTTAAAATGAAGAGGGCCTCACTTTTCTTTGTTTCACATGTGCAAATGGAGAGCGTTGAACTGAAACATAATATTTAGAACGTTCTAAGGTAACCAAGTTACTAATTGTTGGTTTCCTAGCTATGCGGGATAATAATGGCATGTTTGGACTACTTTAGTTTGAACGTGTATGTGAAGTGTCGGAAAATGCTGGTGAACCGTTATTATTCGTGTTGCTTCAACATGAACTTATCAGAGTAGGTGCATTTTGCGACTGTTTTGACTCTTTGTGCTTCTTTTTTAGCAGCTTAAATTCACACCAGTGCTCTTTCTGTGTACAGAGGTGCCGTTAGCCCAGAAAATTCTCAGCATGCCAGTGTAAAAACTCTGGTGTTTCGTGCGATGGCCAACAAACAACTACTTGTGTAACAAGAGCTGCATTGAGCTCTGTTGTCTTGCTTGAACGCAAAGCCTTGTGGTCTCGAACGTGTCTGTAAATACAAGCAGCAATTCTTTCTTTTCCTCCATTCTTTTTCTTACTGCTGAGAGACACCAGTCTTCTATGCCATGCCTAAATTATTTTTAGCATGTGAAGTGGGATGTGCTCTCTTGTTTGTTTTCTTGTTTTGTAAAAATGTAGGTAGCCACTTTGTGTGCTGTTGTTTTCTTTTACCACACCTAACTTCTGTATGCTGTATAGTAAAATAAAAGAAACTAACACTGGACTCCCCTCTGGTCTTTCTTATTGCCTCGTCAAAGTCACCCAGGATCTGCTGACTCGCTCAGGTTGATAAGTGTGAGTCCTAAGCAAGAGGATGTATCCTCAGTGAGGCCGGTTAATTTGAACTGAAGGAGCTCGGCATGTGTTTTTTGCTTTTCTTGTTGTTTGTGGGTCAGTGCGAAGCCAGGAGATGGCACTCCAAAGCCCTTCCCGATATATATACAACCCAGTTGTCCTACTGTGAGGAAGAAGCCACCCTTATTTCATAGATAGCCTGGCATTTGCGTTAACACCGCAAAAGCATTTCATTTTATTAGCAGTCAGTGGCTGAAGAGTCCGATTTCCTTTGTTTAGACGTGGTCAAATGCCTGCTTTACCTTCGCTGATAAGAAGCTATATTTTCTGTTACTTCTTGCTTGCGTCTTAGTTCTAAAGAAGCAGCTCTTCTAAGTAAGACTCTGTGCCGAAAATGTTATCTCAAAAATTGACTGAACGGGTCTCACTTTCAACTGCTTCTTTTTTGCAAACAATTAGCAAATAAAGGTATTTTTCAGACATGAATTCACCCTTACCTCAACTATGCATACTACTGGTTGACGCTGTCTCTGGGGAAAACGTTGACAGAGTGTGGTGTTTACCGCCTACTGGCTCTCCACAGCTGCTTGTGACTGTCAGCCTTGAACCCCATTTTCTTCGGTCAAAGATGCTTTGGTACAAGTGTGGCGGCTTTTGGAAACACTACAGAAATATTGTTTTACAGCGAGAGCACAATAAGGTGCCATAGTTGTCTGCCACCACTGCCGGTGTCCATAGCCGTTATCACGCAAAATCAGAGAAGATATCCTGAATGGAACGGGGTTCAAACCTGTATCCTCTCCGTGGAAGCTGTACCACAGAACCATGTAGGTGCTCGAAGCTCACAAATACATTGAGTGACCCTTAAACATTACGAGGGAACGCGATAGTGATATTCTGTACCTAGTGCATACTGGAACTCTTGAGTATGAAATCTTTTCGAACTTGCTATGCACCCACTACATGGCCTTGATGGGGCAGTAGCGTGTGTGCCTTTTATAGTGGACGAGCGGATTAAACTATGAAGTCATTGATAATCCCATGTTCTGACGTCCGATGGCAATGTGCCCTGGTATCATACATTATTACGACAATATTTCATGCTGTATTATGAAGCATGTATACAGGGCGAGTGTGTTTATAAAGCGTAAAAGTTATTTCGCTGCATTTGCAAGCAGAGGAAGTTATTTTCCCTGTATTCACAAGCAGAGGCGTGGCTGTGTGGTAGAACACCCGCTTCCCATGCAAACGACCTGGGTTCGATCCCCACTCAGACTCGCAATGTTTTATAATTTGTTTTAAAATAATTTGCATCTTTCTCAATTTGTCGGTCAAGCAGAGATGCTTGATTTTTTACTGACAGCCAATAATGGCCACGCCGTAATTTCTGGGGAACAAGCTCTTTAACACTATTGCGTTAATATAAATTACGTTACAAGTGGGTCATTGCTTCCAACCCATTACAAAAAGCACAGCCATAATTTGTCATCAGTCACAGAATCAATGGGGCATTGGGTACCTCGCAAGCGTACTTGTATTATTAGCCTGAAGAGTTTGCAACAGGTTCTACAAATGGTGCTATTTCAGATTTGCTGTGACAGTGCTGCGCTACAGTGCTTTCTGCAGATGCTTGGCATTTTTTATTGGTACAAGTGAACAGCCGTGCATTGTTTAACTCTTTTGCATGCTTTCTCTGAGTGGGCTGGTAATCTGCCAACAGCATTGCAAATTGTCTCATAAGACGTGAACAGAATGGTCTCTTTCACCGATATGAGTGGGAATATAGGGAATCAAAGTTGCCATTTTTGACCTCTGCAGTAGCATGTTGTACGAAAATGGTTTTGTTATATCCAAAGATTTATTATAAACATTCTCATGAGACAAAAGGCAACACTCTTCCTAATTTAATTCATTATAATTGAACATTTGTTTTAGGGGTATACTTGTAACGGTATGTGGAGGGCAACACACTTTCTTGTGAACTTCGTTATAGCAAAACACGTTTTGATTATCGGCTAATAATAAAGGCGATACAATCACGGGTAAAAAATTCTGCAAGTTGTAATTGAAAATAACATAAGAAAACAAATAGAAATCGAGGTTTATTTTCAGCTTGCATGACACAAGGTTCAAAGCGCAACCACGTAGGGAAGGGCTAGGAGTTTTCGGGCGTCGTGCCCGGCATCAACTCCTGGGCAGCACGATCTCGCATGATTTTGTGGCAAATCGCAATCCAAATGTGCTCATTTCGCGTTATCGTCCAAGGTGTCAGCAGTTTTGGAGCCAGAGAGAGTGCTCGCACCACAACCACGAATTGGCGCGCCGAAAGCAATGCTAGATTAACTGACTAATTAACTTTATGCATGTAATATCGCTTTGATAATGATAAACCTCGTGCTAATAAACTTCCAATTGAGATCGCTGCAGTGATATTACCTTTGTGTTCGTGCCCCAATAAAGCAGCTACCCACAATAATGCACAGAAAACATATATGGTTCTTTTCTATGTGAACTTTTGCTGCGTGCTACAATACTAGTTGTTGCATATGATGTCTATAAATATCATATACAGTAACTATACTGGGAAGCACCAATTTCCCCAACCGGGAAATTAGTGGTATCCATTGTCTACACTCCAAGTGTCTTCTTTCGGAATGGCGGATTTACTTTATCAAGCAAGGAGTGCACTTAGGGCTCCCACTTTGGAGTCAAAAGTGGAACACTGTGCGTGCTTGGGCTTGACTGTGCCCGGCTTCACTCATCGGCCGGGTAAAGTAAGTTTCACGGCGGGGCCTTATCATTCAATAGAGGTAAACAGGTTGACTGCATCTTCTTAGATTTTCAAGTCTTTTTTTATTCTGTAGCACATAATCTGTTGCTGATAAAACTGTCTGCACTTAATATTTCTACAATTCTTTTACGTTGAATTACGGCTTATTTTGCTGGCTGAAAACTGTACTGTTCTTCACGGGATGAGTTCATGATATGGAACAGTTTTATCAGGTGTGTCCCAAGGATCGGCTCTGGGACCGCTTCTTTTTATAATATTTATTAATGAAATAGGTAGACAGGTGTCAACTCATCCCAGGTTGTATGCCGATGACTGTTGTTTTTACCACGAAATTATTTCCCTGGGTGACAGTGTCTAATTATAAAGTGACCTTGCTGCGATACTGCTATGGTGCAATGAGTGGAATATGAGGCTGAATTTTGTTAAATGCAAAGTTGTCCAGTTTACTAACAAAAGTCACATTTCTGATGGTATGTATTGTTTTGGCAGTGAAAGCCTGTCGATTGCATCAAATTACAAATAGGTGTTTTTTATACACTTTCAGTCAGGTGCTAGATAACAAACGGCATATAGGCGGCACTCCTGCGTACTGACTAAAATCCTGTCTAAATGGAGCCCAGCAATAAAAAGTACCCGGGACAGCCGCGCGGCGCGGAAGTAACGCCTATAGCCGGTAAGAGCGGGCGCAAGAAGGGAAAAAATTAAAAAGGGGAAGAGCCGCGCCAGCCTGGCGCCAGGATCCGGAATCAACTTACGCAGAATGGTTCGGTGAACCGCATATAGCTGTCCTATTAACGCATATAAGCATTCCTTTTTTACAAGAGCATGCCATGATTGAAATATGTCTACCGGAGGAGGTTATTTTGTCGCCAATCAGTTTGACAGTGCCCTTGCTGAAGTTTTGTTGCACTATAGGTATCACGTCGCCTCTATACGGCATTCAATAAACTTTGGCTACCTCTACGTATTTTAACCTTTTTACTTTTTTGTAGTTTTGTGGCAATATACTGTTCTAGGTTTGACGCGATACATTTTTCGAATGATCTGTTCGGAACGAACATATGTCGCGTCATCCGTAATCTTAAACGTATTGCTGATCTTGTTATGTTAACTCTTGATGTTGTATACCACCTGTATTGTATTATTTTTGCCCCCCCCCCCTACAGTAATGCCCCTTGGGCGCTGTAGGTATCTGAATAAATAAACGAATAATAAATAAAGAAGGGAGAAGGCGCGTGAGGCAATTGGTTGCATTAACATGGAAGGTTGCAGAAAAATAGCAAAATGTTTGGCGATTGAGGACCAGTTAAACAAGGAACAGATGGGCGTTTATGCGGTTACAGTAACACACCCTAGAGACTTGGAAGAGCCACCACAGATTCTGAATAATATGCGGGAAGAACGCAACAGTATCTTAACAGAAAGGAACGGAGGGGGTATTGGAATGCTAATCCACACCAAAGCCAAAGGGGACAGAGTGAAGCAAACGTGCTCAGAGCACCTTTGGGTTTCGGGCACAGTTTGAGGAAAGAAAACGTGGCTAGGTGTTGCTTACTTGTGGACGGGGAATAACTGCAAGCAAAAGAATTCAGAGATAGTGAGTTGCAAGGCGCCGATATTAAAGAATTTGGTCATGGGTCCGAAATAATCCTTCTAGGGGACATGATTGCACACATACAGAGCCTTGATGGATATTCAGACACCATTGGCAGGTTATTGCTAGATCTCTGTGAGCAAAATCGTCTTGAGATAGTAAATGCGGGGCCAAAGTGTGAGGGGCAGATCACGTGGGAAGTTGAGCACAGACAATCAAGCATTGATTTCATTGATTGATCTGTGGGGTTTAACGTCCCAAAACCACCATATGATTATGAGAGACGCCGTAGTGGAGGGCTCCGGAAATTTCGACCACCTGGGGTTCTTTGACGTGCACCCAAATCTGAGCACACGGGCCTAAAACATTTCCGCCTCCATAGGAAATGCAGCCGCCACAGTCGGGATTCGATCCCGCGACCTGCGGGTCAGCAGCCGAGTACCTTAGCCACTAGATCACCGTGGCGGGGCGAGCATTGCTTATTGTCTTATGACAGAGAGAATCTATGAAAAACTGAGATGTGCATAGACAAAAAAGGCATTAA